AACCAAACCCTGATAAGTGAGTATGTATCCAGACATAACTACAGGAACCAGGATAATGGAAAGGAACCATGGATGTAAAGGAAAAGAAAGAACCTGAAAGAGAAGAACAGTAGGAAACAGGCCTTAATAAGGGAGATAAGGATAAAAACTGGGTTATTTTAAGGGAGGGGGGAGGGAAGGGTATACAAGGAACCTAGGGGATAAAGGGAGAGAAGGAGCTCAAGAGAGGCAGGACCATAGGAGAAGGGGATTAGTAAGGAAGAAAGGGGGGAAATGGGGGCACCTTAATTGGGGAAACCATGATGGAGGGGTTAGACAATGCGAGAGATAAATAATGCCTAGCTATTTTTAAAAACCAGAGGGAACCATATTAGTCCAACAACCTACTGACAGATACCTGATCAAGAGATGTATGTCTAGGTAAGGTCTATCTGAGAACAATTGGTGTTTGCCCAAGATTTATCTACATGGCACACAGTAATTAAAAGTACAAATCTGGTAGAACTTACCTTCTTGGATGCTTAACATACATACTTTGAGGCCTATAATAATTTGGTCAGAGGGACATAAAGGACAGTTTTTGCCCCTTGCCCTTCTAAGTTGACTAGTTCCAGGGGACTATGAGCATCTCTGAAAATGTCCTATAATGGTGGTGGGTCACTTGTCCTCTTGAACAAGGAGGCTGAGGAGACCCCACCAGATGGACTTGAACCAGTGTCCAGTCTACAAAGAGGAGGGTCAACAGAGAGGAATCATTTATTCCATGCTTCCAAGTCGAGCAGGACCTTTGCCTTATCTTCACATGGGTGGAACTGGTAAGAGAAAGGAGCCAGGGGCTCCTCCCAAGCCCATGTGACCCCTGAGGAACAGATCCTCAAATGACCTTAAGATGTATCTAGGCCAACTGTATGGCCTTACACATCCAAAAGGAAAGTATAACCAAATATTAAAGGGGTCAGTATAATTTCTTAAGAGTCCATATACATAGCTAAAGGCTGCATAACAAGCAACAATGCCAGATAAAGATACCTTCTTTTGTTTTTTTTGGCCCGGGTGGCCAAAGGGACTCCCAGATAGTAACCCAGCATAGAACTGGTAAAATCAACAGCAGACCCCAATCTTATCTAAAGGAATATTGACAACTGATTGCTGCTAGATGAGGAACAGCTGACCCACCTAAAACAAAGCTCTCTAGATAGACTGACTAGATCCACCAGGAGGATAAGTAGTAGGGAATGGCTGGGGATAGGAGGGTGCCATCTGGGAAGTGGGCGTATAGTTGAATAAGATAGTTTGGGATGTTCTGTGATATACACGCACACACACACACACAAAAAAAAATCAACAATTTTTCTTAAACTGTATTACATTTTAGGAGGAACCATGGAAATTTACATCATGCTAATTAGTAGAGGTGATAAATATTACCATTGAAATCTACCTAATGGCTTTATAGACATACACAGGCGCCAAGGATCCAAGTGCAACTGATTATGACTAGTAATACTCTGTAAAATGAAATGGCAATCTTTTTTAAAGGTTAAAAACTCATTCAGTTTAATGTCTTACAGGGTTTATACTGAGTTCAATATTGTATAACTGTATTAACTCAACTGTGAACCTAGAAACTTGCACCCACTTGTGAAAAGATTCACCAAAAGTACAAGTAGTGGGGAATGGCTGGGGGTGCCAACAACACAGCAGACAGTAGCAGGGATATCAAAGTATAAGGGCTCTAGCGGGGGGAGGGAGGCTATGGGAGGGTACTACCTGGGAAGTGGGTCTAAAAAAAAAAAATTCTTCAAAGCATAAAAATTTTTCTCCTTAATAACTAGTAGATGTGAAAAACATTACCATTGAAATCTACCTGATGACTTTATATACATGCTCAGATACTAAGGAGCTCAGAAAGTAACCAACTGTGACTAGCAGTAATCAGATATATACAGATTAGAAATGCATGTGCAAACTTCTTAATGTCAATTGCATTAAAAATGAATTTTTCTATAAAAAAAAAAAATCTCAAAATTGCTCCCCTGGGGGCAGCATACAAGCCATGGTCATGGGAAGGCAGGCCAAACACGGGTGGGCCCAAAGAGTCTGTGCTCAAGGACATGGCTCAAGGTCATCACATATTCAGGTTCTTCACAAGTGTGTAGTGTGGGGCACAGTGGAGGAAAAAGTTATGTAAAACAACTTTCTAGGAACTGAAAAACCCAGACAGGTAAGAAAAGACCTTTTGTCTTCAGGCACTGAACAAAGTATTTTCTGATTCTGAATAAGGCACCGCATACGGGAATCAGTGTAACAAAACTGCTTCTTTACCGACTGGGTGGAGGCTGGAGATACCAACCTGTCCAGACACAGTGGCTAAATGAAAACTCATCACTGCTCTATAAACCCTGACTGACTCGTGTGTGTGTGTGTGTGTGTGTGTGTGTGTGTGTGTGTGTGCGCGCGCGCGCGCGCGCGCGCGCTCTACAAACCCTGAGTGACTTCTATGTGTGTGTATGTGTGTGTCTGCTCTACAAACCCTGAGTGCGTGTGCGTGTGCGTGTGTGTAGGCTACAGATCAATATCAGGTCACTCTCCACCTTATTTTTTGAAACAGTCTCTCACTGAACCCAGAGCTCACTGATTTGGCTATGTTTGCATAGCAAGCACTTGACTGACTGAGCCACGTCCCCAGACCTACAAACCCTGATGTAAAGTCAGCACTCAAGAGCATGAGAGGGGTATGGCCCAGAGCTAGGTGAAGGATTAGGAAGAAACGAGCAGCAGCCTGGGCAGAGCTACAGAAGGGCAAGCACGGAGGAGCCAGAGGCGCAGCCTGAGGGAGCCGTGTCTTACCTTTGCCTTCTCACTTGGCTCGATGACAATGCCATTGGTAGAATTATTTAGTTCTCTGGAGACAACACAGAGGAATTCTGCCTGGTCCTCACTTCCATAGTTATAGGAGGAGCCAATGCTGATTAGCTGGCAAAACAAGATGATGGTAAGCATACAACCACACAGGCAACGGCCTTAAAACACTCAAGTGCCACACAAATCACACCCTCCTCCTGACTGGACTTTGTAGGGTTTTTTTTTTTTTTTTTTTTTTTTTTTTTTTTTTTTGGTCTTTTTGAGACAGGGTCTCCCTGTAGCCCCAGCTGTCCTGGAACTCACTGTGTAGACCAGGCTGGCCTTGAACTCACAGAGATCCACCTGCCTCTGCCTCTTGAGTGCTGGGATTAAAGGCGTGTGCCACCTCTACCTGGCTATGTAGTTTTTTTAATTAATGAATTTTTTTGAGTCTTTTTGAGACAGGGTCTCCCTGTAGCTCCAGTTGGCCTGGAATTCACTATGTAGACCAGGCTGGCCTTGAACTCAGAACCCACCTGCCTCTGTGCTGGGATTAAAGGTGTGCACCACCACAACCAGTGACTTTGTAGTTTCATGTTTCAACAGGACAAAAGTCTCTCTAGGGCATCCAAGGTCCTGGAGAATAAATGGAGCCCTTATTCATCCAGGTATCACCCCTGAGGCTTCCCCAACAACAGTCTGAGTTCCACCCTTGTCCCTCACCCAAGCACCTGACATCACCCTCAAGCCATCAGCAGCAGTAGCATGGCCACTCTCCCTCAGTCAAATGTGAGGTGAAACAGGATTTCTACAAGTGAACGCTCACTTCGGCCCAGCTTGCATCAGTGGGCTCTTTCATGAGCAATGGAGCTAGACAAGAGACTGGTACACAGAAAGACCTGGAAAGCACTAGGCAAACCGTTCTGCAGCTACCAAAAGCCACACGCTGCAGTACTTTAATTCTGAAGAGCTGGATTCAGTACTTATTCTAGATAGGAAATCTGCATGTGGAGAGGGAGAAGCTAGGCAAAGAGAAAGGTCAGCCTCATAAACACTCAAGGCTTCAAGTCGGGACACTCCCACTTGACTAGGGAATCCCACTTCCTCATCCATACCTTAGAGGCACTAAGAACAGACTTCATCCTCCCCAGAACATTAGCAAGAGGTAGCAATGTAAAGAAATCATCTTGTACAAGGACTAGAAATGTAGCTCAGTGTTAGAGCACTTGCCTAGAATGAGTGAGATCATGGGTTCAATCCCCAGCACCATAATAATAATAACAACAAATAACATTTAAAATTATCCATTACTTTCACAAAGAATATTCACACATCTATTTAAAAAAAAATCTTTTGCTTAAGACTGTTTACAGGAAAAATACTTATGACAATAAACCCTGCACAGCATTTTGCCAGCCACACCTGTGAGAACTAGAGACAGACGTGGCAGGATTGATCCCACAGCGGAAGACAAGCATGAGAAGCATGACTCCGGCTCTGGAGACAGAGGTGGCAATGTTAACACAAGCTGCAACCTTACTCTTGAAGGTGAGCTTATGTTCAAAGTTCAGCTGGCCTCTTCAACTCCAAATAAACACAGGCCTGCTCCACACAAAATCACATCCCCTCTATTCACTCAGCGCTCCTGTGCGCTGAAAGCAGAAGACCGGAACAATCCTGCCATCTCATGGAAAAAGACAGTAAAACCTGGATTCTCAGGAGCTGTTTCCCAAACCTCAACTGTAATTGCAAAACTGAAAGACTTGAAGAGGAGAAAATGATGGGAAATGACCAAAACCTCACAGCACACCTGCCACGTATACACTCAGAATTATAAAGTTCTGACCCCAGGAGGAGAAAGGTTTGCAGAAGCCCAGGCTTCCTTAGGGTTCACTCTTAGAATTACATCAACAGAGCACCTTTGAAAGGAATCCCTCTGAGGGAAGGAAAACCAAAGAGAGGTGTTTTCAAGCATAGACAAGCTGGCTGGCTCCTTGGGTAATGTCAAGTTCAAACTCTGGATGTAAAGCTGGGAGATGTGGTGCTCCTCCAACCCTTGCCAACCCCAGGAGCTCTTTCCCATGTTTAGAAATGGGCTCACACCTGCCTACCTCCCAGGGTAACTGACTGGCTGGACAGTGACTATGGTGTTCTGGACAGTGATTGTGGTGTTCTGGCCCCCAGGATGAGGTGCTGGGGTTGCTGCTCTTGGAGAAACATACCTGTTCAAATTTCCAGCCGTCAGACATGGTGGAGACCATCTGAGTCAGTTCTTCCTCTTGGCACTGCAGGACCCTGTACACGTGTTTCACGGGGCCCTGCAACAATCAGGCAGACTGAGAAGAGCAGCCACAGACCCCACTGTTCGCAGCTGGTTCTTTTTTTTTTTTTGGTCTTTTTTGAGACAGGGTCTCCCTGTAGCCCCAGCTGTCCTGGAACTCATTATGTAGACCAGGCTGGCCTTGAACTCACAGAGATCCGCCTGCCTCTGCCTCCCAAGTGCTGGGACTACAGGCATGTGCCACCACGCCCAACTGCAGCTGGTTCTTGAACCACCCACAACCCTCTTTTCCAAACAGCAATGTGGTTCCCAATGAAAACTTATCATAGGAAAGACAAAATGATCAAAGACAGGAATCAATGCATAAAATAATCCTGAATTCCAGAGGAAGGGATTATGTGAGCAGCTATGCCAACACACAGAGATTTCATCAATTCCCAAACAATGTGCATAAGAAAATCTGGTTTTTTTTGGTCTTTTTGGGACAGGGTCTCCCTGTAGCCCCAGCTGTCCTGGAATTCACTATGTATACTAGGCTGGGCTCGAATTCACAAAGATCTGCCTACTTCTGCCTCCCGACTGCTGGGATTAAAGGCTTGTGCCATCATGCCCAGCCAAAAGTCTTTTTTGAGACAGGGTCTCCCTGTAGCCTCAGCTGTCCTGGAACTCATTATGTAGACCAGGCTGGCCTTGAACTCACAGAGATCTGCCTGCCTCGGTCTCCCAAGTGCTGGGATTAAAGGCATGTGCCACCATGCCCAGTTTACAAAAGTCATTTTTTTAAAAAAGAGGTTTATATGGGGCTGGAGAGATGGCTCAGTAGTTAAGAGCACTGACTGCTCTTACAGAGGACCCGGGTTCAATTCCCAGCACCCACATGGAGGCTATGAACCGTCCTTAACTCCAATTCCAGGGGAATCTGAAGCCCTCTTATGACCTCCATGGCATTGCACGACACAGGTGCACTCACATACATGCAAGCAATACACTCGTACACATAAAATAAAAATAAAATATTAAAAAAAAAAGAAACAAAAAAGTATCTTTGGGGGCTAGTGACTGAATGCTTGTCTGTTATTTGTGAGGCCCTGGGTTCCATCCTCAGCACTGTAAAAAAAATAAAAAAACTAAAAGAGTAACTATCATTAACCACAGTACCAAGACTAAAACAATTCCTTCCTTGTAAAATACAGGGCAAATTCCTGGGCTATTTTCTTTGGTTCTACCCACATATTTTAGAAACAACCAGAGGTTTTGTAATACAAAGTTCAGAACATAACAAAAGGTCTGATGATGATCACAGTCGCCCAAGTCCCTGCATTAAGATGCCATTGTAATAGCTTTTTCCCTCTCTCCTCCGAGTCCAACCACCAGTGTCCCAAAAAGAACCAAGATTAATCATCTACAAAAAAATGTTATTATTTGAGATGGAAAAGCGAATGGTGTCAGCCACTAAAAGAGAGAAGAGGCCATGGCCTAAAAGGGGTTAGGATCCCTACGTCTTGGGACTTTCCTGCCATACGCATCTGACAGTGTACATGCTCTGACAGTGTGCTGTGTTCAAGGAGGCAACGTCTAGAGATCCACACACAGCCAGCTTTATTTTAGAACCATGTGTGCCCAGGGGAGGAGAGAGCTTTGAACATCAATCCTTATCTCAGAGTTCACTACATAAAAAGGACAAATGGAAAGATCAATTAACATCAAAAAGGTCTTGACATTCCTGGAACAAAAAAGCTCCCAACTGGGTACAAATCCACAAGCCTTCAGAATCTAGGGACTAATTAAGTTAATTGCAGCCATCAAATAGAAATCTCAGAATGCTCTCAAGAAATCAGCTAATGGCAAAGACTGTATGTAGAATGATTTGAATGGGTTCAAATTATACAATTTATGGTACCATCAAAATTTTTACTAAGCAATCAAGTTGGCTTTTAGAATGTAGGAAAGTGGGGATAAAGCTATATTTTCAAAATGTCTATGTCATTTATTAAATATCTGAAACAGCCAAAGATCCCGTCTACTTAGACGATGGCAAGGGGACTGGGGACACTGGATCCTATTTCACAAGGCAATTTGTCTGCCAAGTACAAATTTACCTGTGAACATCAACGTAAGCCTTTTAACCAACTGGCCAAAAAAGGCTTCTTTCTAATCTTTCCAGACAGCTGGAGAAAAATGGTAAGGAGACTTCTCTTTACCACTGCTGTCAGTTTTCCATCCAGACATTCCATGTGGAGCCAGAAATGTTCATGTCTGAGATCTAACACAGAAAAGCAGGGCACATTTTTCACCTTTAAAAAGAAACAGTATCTTCCAAAGCTGTGACAGACTATGGAAAACATCCGCCAGTGGGATCTGGTGGGGCAACTGTGCCACAAGACAGGTGGCCACGGAGAAACACAGCTCTGCCCATTACTGCAAATCTGGAGCTGCTCTTCCTCACGAACAGGAAGAAAGACTGCTGCTGCTAGACTCCATAGTCTTTGGGAGCGGGGCTTTCTTCTGGTATGGATGGCCCTCACGGACTCTACAGCAGCCATCCAAGAACATGAGGAACAGCACGGGGAGCAGGCTGTGTCCTATCGTCTGCCCTTCCCTCAAAGGAGAGGGATTCTCTTTGTTACCACATCTACCGAGTTAATATAAAAATCCAGGCAGCATGATAGAGCTCAGAAGCATGACTCACAGATGGGTCAGTGGCTCACAGAAGCCAGGGCTGGAGAGCAGGCTCAGTGGTTAAGAGAACTTGCTGCTCTTGCAGGGAACCCCAGGTTCAGTTCCCAACACACTAGGTGACTCACAACTATCTGTAACTCCAGTTCTAGGGCATCTGAGGCCCTCTTCTGGCCTTTGCAGGCACTGCACGAATGTGCTGTAGTTACATACAAGCAAAACACTCATACATATAAAATAAAAATAAAATCTTTGCCAGGCATGGTGGCAAACGCCTTTAATCCCAGAACTCAGGAGGCAGAGACAGGCAGATCTGTGAGTTCAAGGCCAGCCTGGTTTATATAGAGTGAGTTCCAGGCCAGCTGGGGATATAGGGAGACCCTGTCTCAAAAAGACCAAAATAAAAAAATAAAATCTTCAAACAAAACCTCACCCTAGTAAATGACACCAACAAGTGTAAACAAGACGTGGGAACAGACATTCCATTAACAAGATCAGACTTTGCTGTGTGTGGTGGCTCATACCCATAACCCTAGTAACCAGGGCAACTGAGACAAGAGGATCTCTAGTTCAAGACCAGCCTAGGCTCCCAAATGGAGCACTCTCTTTGTATCTAAAGTAGACTGGGCTCCTCCCACTGCCATATGGCTAGCAATGAATAATCTATTCTAAAAGGTAAAAGGGGCCGTCCTGTTTTCTCTGTATTTCTCCTCCATTTCCTCATTCTGAACCACTCTAGACCTCTAGCTTGGAGGAGAAAGGCATCCTTCTCAAATCATGAACAGGGAGAGCCACTGGAGGTGTTTCCCCCAGCAGTTCAAAATGCCTTACTTGTGAAGTTCTGTTCTCGTTGTCTCGTATCCTCTCCTTAACCAGCCGCACAAGAGATGCAATGTTGTAGAACTCTGCTTCCTCCAGTACACCTACAAGGACCAAATGGAGTCACACATGCGTGAGCTGCCCCGGAAGAGCAGAACAAGGCTGCTGAGGACTGCACTGTTCTTTTAACTTCATTTTTAATATTTTCTAATTTTATGTGTGTGTTTTGCCTGCATGTGTATAAGTACACCTGTGTTGTGCAATGCCTGCAGAGGTCAGAAGAGGGCGTTGAACGTCCCTGGAACTGGAGTTATGGACCATTATTAGCCACATTGTAGGTGCTGGGAAATGAACCTGGGTCCTCTACAAGAGCACCCAGTGCTCTTAACCACTGAGCCATCTATCCAGCCCCCAAAACTGTATTTTTCAAATACAAACTAATCTCTCTCCTTCAACCTAGGAAATCTAAGAGATCTGGCTCTGCTATTTCCTGTACTCCCACAACCTTCCCGCACTGAAGTAAGTCAAGCACAGGGTCTGCTCTGCTTAAAACTTCACATCTCCTGGTGCCAATCTATTAGCTGTCCATATGTTTCACAGTTCCTGGCACTAGTCACACTGGACAACTCCTGACCTTGTAATTTCTACCCTGCTGTCCCTTATAAGGACTGATGAAAAGGTATGTGTATATTACAAGGATCGAATTTAATAGTATACTTACTATTTCAACAAAATAAAAAAAGCAGTCAGGGCTGGGAGCTCAACTCACTGGCAGAATGCTTGCCTGGCATACCCAAAGCCTTAGATTTGATCCCCAGCTGCCAGAAAAGGGCAATCACTGACTGCTCTCATGCTAAACAAAACCAAAGGTCTAAGATAGGACAATTATGGGATGTATGATCCTGTCCTAGGAAAAAAATGTCCTTATGGACATTATTGTAATAAATTGGAATATAAGACGCAGATAAAACTATCAATATTACATTTCCCGAGTTGATAACAAGATTACATAAGGTCCTTGTTCTTGGGGAAAACACACAGAACTATTAAGGGGCAAAGTCTGCAATCTAATCTCAAACAGTTCAGAAATAAAAACTATGGGGGAAAGACGGAAGAGAGGCAGGTGGAAGAAAAGGGAAGAGGGAGGTGGGTGGCAGAGAGGAAGGGAAAAAAGGGAAATGAAGATCAATGATAAGAAAACTGATAAGAAAACACTGGTGACTCTTGGTAAAGAGGGTTTTTTTTTTTTTTTTGAGACAGGGTGTCACTGTAGCCCCAGTTGGCCTTGAACTGCCTTCCTCTGCCTCCAGAGTGCTGGGAATAAAGGGATGCACTACCATATCCAGTTACAAGGTTTGGGCAGTCTTTTTTTAATTATTTTTATTTTATGTATATGAGTGTATTGCCTGCATGGACATGGTGCACGCCTTTAATCCCAGCACTAGGGAGGCAGAGGCAGGCAGATCTCTGTGAGTTTGAGGCCAGCCTGGTCTCCAAAGTGAATCCAGGCCAGCTGGGGCTACAGGGAGACCCTGTCTCAAATAGACCAAAATCAATCTATAAATTCAATGCAATGCCAAACAAAATCCCCATGACATTCCTCACAGAGCTAGGAAAAAACAACAGGCGATCCATATGATGTCAGGGGCTTCTCTTTGCTCCATAATTAAAGTCTAACGTCTTTGCACCCTCTGTGGATTCCTGCTCTCATCTTCCCCTGAGCTCCGTCCCTTCACGTCATACCTCCCTTCTCATTCATGTCCTCTAAGCAGCTGTTCGTTGCTCTGTTGTTAAACTTTTTCCCACTGTAGTTCCTTGTTCCAACCTAGGGAAAGGAGATGAGAGAGAGAGCGAGAGTGAGAGCGAGAGCGAGAGAGAGAGAGAGAGAGAGAGAGAGTTGTGTGTGAGTGTAGGTTAAGGAGAAAGAATGCATGAGAGTGAGCAAGAATTCGCAATTCCTCTTTTCACGGACTGAAATGGAGTCATTTTGAGCCATGTCATTAACAAGGACAGTCATTACAGGCTTTCCTATCCAGAGCTAAACTTCCCAGATCAGTGCCCTGGATTTAGGGAAGGACCCCAAATTTTAAATGAACGCCTATAGTGAGACCAAGCCAAGCCTTTTACAAAGATTAGACCCACTTACGTCCAAATGCCCTACAAAACAGAAAGACAGGCAGTCTGTGATACACCTGACAATGAACTAGAGAGTAATTTAGGTCAGCTGCAAAAATTCACAGGAAAAGCATGAGACCAGAGTCTTAAAAAGAAACGAGGTCAAGCCTTTATTATTTTTTCAAGTTCAAAGGAAAATTGAAAATATAAATCACTGACTGCCAGAGATGTGGTGCTCTGGCTATGGAAATCCACTACCAACAAAGAAAGAAATGTAAGACAGGACCGTGACGATTCGGCAGGTTTAAAAGCCTCCTAAAGCAATCTGCAAAGCTGGGCTACCCACCTTCCTTCCCACTATGGCAGCGGAACACAGCCCAGTGGACCATCCTTCAAGACTCTCAGAGAAGCCTGCCTAACGGGAGGCTTCCTGCTACTTTCATAAACTTCTATCACACCTGGACACAAGCCCAATGAGAACCTCAAATAAAACATGAGTCTCTGAAGCAGCTTTAATTTGGTCTGAAGTTCAAAAATGCCCAGTGTGTGTCCTTACCTTCTTCTGCCAACTCCTTAGTAATGATGAGTTTTCCGTGGCGGAGGTAGTTTAGGATAGGACCAAAGTAGGTGGGGTCTCTGTCAATTAGATAGGCTCCTGTCTCATCCTGCCAACCAAGTACAAACAAACATTGTGAGCCTTTCAGAACATCTTCAAAACAGCAATTCCCCTTGTCAGTGCTCTCAGACAACATATTCATCCTACCATATAATTTTTTTTAGTGAGGCTTGTTTTTCTAGACAATTTACTTATTTTAAACCATTGGCCACAGGTCTGGCTTTAAGGTGCTTTAGATCATTTCAGGTCAGATGTCACAGATGCAGAGTCATTTCCCTTATTCAGGCCTTTATTTACTGGTTTGAACTTCTACAATCTTTGTCTGGACAATTACGAACATGTTTCTGTAGGTACTGGCTGCAGGGTGGAATACCACGGCTGTGTGATTTAAGTTTTTGCTTAAATGAACATTCTGACCTCCACTGCCCTAAACTACCTTCCAAATTCTAAGAAAACCTCCGTTTATTGGCAGTTCTCCTGAGCCCAGGGCCAACAGCAGTGGGAGTCTGCATTGCCAGTGGTAAGCTCACACCCTAACTCTGTGCCCAGAGGAAGTATGGCACTGCCAGGACTTGGCTCTGGGTAGCCTTAATCCTACTCATCTTTACAGTAAAGCAGAAGGAAGAGTTAGGGCGTATTTTTAAAAAATTCTTATAAACACAAGTTCTAGAATCTCAGAACTGGTTAGGTTACCATCAATTTGGTATCATAGAACAGACAAAACTGATAAATGTTTATGCAACCCTGTATTGCAAGGTAACCAGGGGAGCTATACAGTATTGAAGGTAGTGTAAGTTATAGTCAGTGCCTTTAAGTTGAGAAGATGAACCTGCAAAAGTTAAGAAATTTCAGTAACAGTTCAAACTGGAAAGTGTCTTGCTTTGGTTAGAAGCCATCCGTCTTGCCCAATAGCATTCCCCAGTTGTCACTTTCCCCGGGTCTTAAAGGGTCTGCCTCGGCTGGCATGGCCAAATGTAACCCTCTTTCCAAGGAACGCACTTGCTCCCCCAAAACATAACTCAACAGTGACTGATACCAGATATAAGTTCTTGGACCAGGACCTTGGGAAAACAGTGCAATAACATCCCAAGAAGCACCTCCTGCATCGGCAGATGCTATCTATCCCGCGCTTAATCTAACTTAGCACAGGGGTCCGATAGAAGTCCCGAGAAAGCCAAAGATGCCTCCGTTCACCCTGACCCAGTTCGGCATGTATCTGGCACCAGCAGTGAGGGACTGAAGAGGAGCCGCGGAAGAACTCGTGCAGATCTGAGCAGGTGGGATCCTCAGGAGGCGCAGAGAATGTGAGCGAAAAACCAAGTGGGCTCTCGTGATGCACAGGTGGGCAGCGCCAGGAAGGAGCGCTAAGGAAAAGGCGGGGTGCGAGGGGAACGCGGGGTGTGCCTGAAGATGGGGGAGAATAGGGAGAGGGAATTCTGAGGCTGCCGGAGTTAACCAGGGGGCGAAAGGGGACTTGGGTCCCGGCTTGCGCGGCCTGTCCAGGGAATCGTGTCCAGCACTCGGGAGACCAGGCTAGGAGAAGGGGGTCCCCAAAGCCCGGGAGCGCGCCCGAGGGCGGGGCCCACCTTGTCCGAGTCGAGCTCCGGGTCCTCCTGGCAGCAGAGGCGACAGAGGAAGGACTTGGGCTCGCGGCCTAGGGTCTGTCTGGTGGTCACGAAGTAGGTGCCGCCCACGTTCAGCCGGACCCAGCGGGCTGCTCCGCCGCCCCCCGCCCGCTCCGGAGGTCCAGGACCCGGGTCCAGCGGCTGCGCCACGGCAGCGGGCTGGCGGACGTGCCCGCGGGGCACTGGGCCGGCCGGACGAGGGCTGGGGGGTCCGCGGCCCGGGCCACCCGTGTCCACCACCCCAGTCCCGCCACCCCCTCCCAGCCCCGCCATCGCCGGGTCCAGCTGCAGCTCCGCCATCTTGGGCCGCCGTTGCCCGCGCGCCGCCGGGCCGGCTCATTTCTCGGTAGGGAGAGCCGGGCCGGCCCATCGGCGGGGGTGGGGCAGGGGGAGAGGGACGGGAGCGCCCCCAACCAGCGGGGACCCTAGCGGCGCAGGCGCTGTGCCCGCCCTCGGGGGCGGAACTTCCAGGACCTTCCCACATTCCTATTGGCTTACCTGTGAAACAAGGCCCGCCCCTCCATCTTTCGGATTGGATGAAGGGAGAGCTTCCGTTGACTCATTTCCGTTACTTGGTGCTGGGTCCTGTGCTCCGTCGGGGACGGTGAAGGTGAGTGTGGTTCGCGGCATTGGGTCCGAGCCCCGCGGACTCCTTTGCTTTATGTCTTCCGGACCTTGTTCCGACGCTTGTTCCAAACCTCTACGGAGGACGTCTGACCCTCGAGCTGCCCCGCTGGCCGAACACCCGGGGTGACTGCTTTGCCCTGCGCTTCCCTCCCTGCTCACAACCCGGCCTCGCCTGGCCGCTGGGCCTGACTGACTTATCTGACCGCCGCTGCTATAGACGTGGACCCCGGGTCTCGCTCAGTCCTTGCACTGTGCGGCGACCTAGGTCTAGGGATTAGGGAAACGTCCCCTAACCTCAGTGTTTACTTGCTGAGGGGGCACCCTGCAGACTCCAGCGCTGTACCCCTCGCCTCCCCTTGCAGGGCTCCAGGATCCCAGCGTCATGTTCAGCCTTCTCGAGTTTATTTACCTTTTGATCAACATCCGTTGAGCATCAGTCTGCGCAAGACGTGTTCTAGGGGCTGGAGACGGTGACCTCTACGTTCTACTTGTGCTTAGGAAAGTTCTGTAGGTGCGCTTGGTTCTCCGGCGTCTTTAGAAGTTCCCCTAACGGCTGTCATAACTTCTCTCCAGGAGACATAAGCAAATCCCGCCAAGGGAGGAAAAGAAAGCGACACATATTGGGCACCTTTTTTGTCAAAAGACCGTGAGGAAGATCCCTTCCAGCTCCCGGGGAATTCACTCCATAGCTTGTAGGGACTCTTTTTTTCACTTTGCAGTGCTTTGATCTGGTTTTCCTGTATTTTGTCTTGTTTCGTTTTAAAGACAGCCGCAGTCAATTTCTGTCTTCTCTCAGGGCATGTGTGCTGGGGGGAATAATCAGAGATGAATATGAAACTAAGTGGATGGCACCTTTTGATCAACATCCGTTGAGCATCAGTCTGCGCAAGACGTGTTCTAGGGGCTGGAGACGGTGACCTCTACGTTCTACTTGTGCTTAGGAAAGTTCTGTAGGTGCGCTTGGTTCTCCGGCGTCTTTAGAAGTTCCCCTAACGGCTGTCATAACTTCTCTCCAGGAGACATAAGCAAATCCCGCCAAGGGAGGAAAAGAAAGCGACACATATTGGGCACCTTTTTTGTCAAAAGACCGTGAGGAAGATCCCTTCCAGCTCCCGGGGAATTCACTCCATAGCTTGTAGGGACTCTTTTTTTCACTTTGCAGTGCTTTGATCTGGTTTTCCTGTATTTTGTCTTGTTTCGTTTTAAAGACAGCCGCAGTCAATTTCTGTCTTCTCTCAGGGCATGTGTGCTGGGGGGAATAATCAGAGATGAATATGAAACTAAGTGTATGGCCAGTCTGGTCGTAGTCCCCCCTCGAAGTTTGTGTAAGTCTAGGGCGAGTTGATTCCAGCAATTTCATTTGATATGCTTAGCAGCTATTTCCCCCTATTTATAGGTGGGGAAATTCTGTCCCACAATGTGCTCTGTTAAAACTTGTCAAATTTTCAATATGCATCAAGTTCTGAATACTGGAGAATCAACGGATAAAACACAATCTGAGTGGAAAAATACGTGAATATTATTTAGTAGTATTTCCAAAGGTGCATGCAAAGCAAAAAGTAGAAACTTGGGCTTATTTAAGGACTAGGAGTTGGGAATAAAGGAAGGGCAGTCTGGTGCGAGAGAGTGTATTTATAGGCCACATTATACAGCTTGAATTAGGCTAAGCTGCTTTAAGTGATTCATGTATCCTAGGCTGGTCTCAAACCTGATAGCCAAGGATAACCCTGAACTTTTGATCCTCCTGTCTCTGTATTTACCTTCCTGCTCCTACAAGCCATAGTATAGGATCAGTGCATTAATTACCAAGTTTCACCTTTTTAACATCAAGCACTGCAGATGGAGCCCAGGGCATTGTCCATGCTAGATGAACACTCTACCAACTGAACTTTCCACTAACTCCCTTTTCTGATTGAGTCCTAATTCCTCTAGTTGTTACATAGATTCACCAAATACTTAAACAATGATGATCTAATCTTTTGGGGTTCTTTTTGTTTTTGAGACAGGGTCTCCTTGTAGCCCCATCTGGTGTGGAACTCACTATAGAGACCAGACTGGCCTCAATTTCACAGAGATCTTCCTGCCTCTGCCTCCCCAAGTGCTGGGACCAAAGGCCTATGCAACCGATCTATTTCTTTAAGGACTGTCTGTTAAGATGCTCTCCTGGGGATTCTAAGAGCACTATTTAATCTTACCTGGGTTTTGTTTGTTTTAATTAAGGATTTGTGTGTGTATGAGTGGCAGGTGTGCGTGTGGGTACTCTTGGAGGCTAGAAGAGGGTGTTGGATCCTTTGGAGCTGGTTACAAAAGATTATTAACCACCTGACGTGGGTATTTGAACTGACCTTGGGTCCTCTGGAAAAGCTGGAGGTTCCTGTAAACACTAAGCCACCTCTTCAGCCCCCCTAGTCTGACCTATTTTGTTTTCCAGGGTCCCAAGATGGCTGGGCGTAAACTTGCTCTAAAAGCTATTGATTGGATGGCTTTTGGGGAGATAATACCCCGAAATCAAAAAGCTATTGCTGGCTCCCTGAAGTCCTGGAATGAGACCCTCAACTCCAGGTCAGTATGTTTTTGAGATGGAGCCCCATACTTGCCACTGCATCTAGAAATGATGTTTTAGACTTATGCAGCCTTTCCTTTTTTAATTGTACGTATGTGTACACACACATCTGCCATGGTGAGCTGTGCTGTATATGTGAAGGTCACCACATTGTGGGAGTTGGCTCTGTCCTTCTACCATATAGGTCCCTGGTACTGGACACAGATTGTCAGGTTTAGCAGCAAATGCCTTTATCCACTGAGCCATCTTGCCAGCCCTGGATAGACATTTCTAATAGTCTGACAAACAGTAAAGAAATTTATGTAGTTTGCAGATGAAAGCATTTTTGGCAATTTTTTGGGCAAATTTAGGTCTTCAGAGAACAGTGTAATGACATTCCAGGCCATAGGATTAAAGAGTAAGATTTTCTTTGCCTCTGTTGAACATGGAATAGCCCTAACTTCCACTTTTCTATGTGAGCAGGTTGGCTGCTGTGTCTGAGAAACCACCAGAGATCGACTGGGCTTACTACAAGGCCAATGTGGCGAAGGCAGGCTTGGTGGATGATTTTGAAAAGAAGGTGAGACTTTGATAACTACAGCACTGATCTGGTACCATGACTTATGGGTGGGTAGAAGGGGAATACGCAGAATGACAGCCAGGAAAGTATGCCATTAACTTTCGGATCTCTGGGGGAGTTAGGACATGTGGGTATGGCCAAAGGCCATGCAGTGGTAGCTTCAAATAGTAAGTGCAGAGAATTCAGGGTCTGCTCCCTCAGCAGTCTAGTGTGGCCTTGCTCCCAGGAGCTAGGGGACTGGTAGGTCTTCCTCTTTCTCCTGAGTTGCCTTTTAGTCTCCTGCCTGTCTGCTTTTGGTTCTACTGTTCTGTGTTGTCCTCCTCCCCTACCCACCCTGTCTTACCTTCCTGTCTTCCTTTGATACTTACACACTGAGAGTCAGTGTCCAGAGTTCATTTGTTTATTCATTGGAAAATGCTTACAGAAGGCTAGAATGCAGTTACAGGGCATACCACTAAATAGCCTTCTAAAGTCCATTTCTCTCTCCATTGTGCACCAAATTTCTGCCAGTCTACCCTCGGGGGTTTTGTATGTGTCCTAGTTTGTTTCTCCATTGCTGTAACAAAACACTCTGACCACTACCAACATGGGGAGGAAAGGGTTTATTCAGCTTACATCTCCTGGGTCACAGTTCATCAGGGAGCCCAAGGGAGGAACTCAGGACGGGAACCTGGAGGTAGGAGCTGGAGCACAGGCCATTGAGGAACACTGTTTACTGGCATGCTCCCCTGGCCTCTGCTCAGCCTGCTTTCTTACGAAAAATAGGCCCACCGGCCCAGGGGTGGCACCACCCACAGTGGGCTGGGCCATCCCACAGCACAGAAGAATCAAGAAAATGCCCAACAGACATGGCCACAGGCCAGTTCAATGGAGGCAGTTCGGTAATTGAGGCTCCCTCAACCCAGGTGTGTCAAGCTGACACTAAAGCTATCCAGCACAGTATGAAAAAGAATTTCTTTAGACTGCAGGTGCTAAGTGGCTCTTCATTATGTCTAACTGCCCTTTTAGATGAAGAAACTGAAGCTTTTTGTAACAGATATGGAAAATATTTAGGTAATTGTTGAGACCCTTGAGCTTCTTTTCCCAGTAAAATTCTCTTTCTACTACAATACCCAAGATGCATGGGGTATGGAGAATTCGTTTAATAAGGTCTGTAAGGAGCAGGAGCTTTGTGTTCTTTGGGCTCCTGGGTATATTGGTGACAGCTGTGTCCTTGTTTGTAGTTTAAGGCCCTGACGATTCCTGTGCCAGAGGATAAATACACTGCCTTGGTGGATGCTGAGGAGAAGGAGGATGTGAGTAGTCCATGCTTTCATTTTTTATTTCATGAGTTTTGCCTGCATGTATGTAATTGCACCCATGTGTGCAATGCCTGCAGAGGCCAGAAGAGGGTGTTGGGTTCCCTGGTGTCCATATCTGGATTTATGAAGTTGTTAGTTGCCATGTGGGTGCTGGGAACTGAACCTAGGTCTTCTGCAAGAGCAGTCTGTACTCTGAACTGCTGAGCCAGCTGTCCAGCCTCAGTATGTCACCATTTTTGAGTGTGGCAATGGTATCAGACACAGAAGCTGGTGGATCTTAAAACACGAGCTTCTCATGTGGGGTTGTGGTCGCGCACGCCTTTAATCCCAGCACTCGGGAGGCAGAGGCAGGTGGATCTCTGTGAGTTCAAGGCCAGCCTGGTCTACATAGTGAGTTCCAGGACAGCTGGGGCTACAGGCAGACGCTGTCTCAAAAAGACAAAAAAAAAAAAAAATTGATGTAGTAACTGGGTGTGGTGGTGTACACATTTAATCTCAAAACTCGGAGGCAGAAGTAGGCAAATCTCTTGGGAGTTCAAGGCCCAGAAATCCAGGTGGGAAGTCTGGTTTAGAGGGGTGGGGCCACATGGCTTGTCTGGACTGTTCCATGGCAGGCTCCTAAGCTGTCTTCCTGCCCAGCTGCTATGTGGGCGCTGACTGGCAAAGCTATGGTTTGCTTCCCATAGCCAGCGTGTCCAGCCATATTCTTCCCATATGGCTGTGGGAAATGAGCAGGTCCCTGCCCCTCCAGCCTCAGGATCTGGACATGGCTTGACTTTAGAACAGAGCCTCTCCCTTCTGTTAAAGGTGAAGAATTGTGCTGAGTTCCTGTCTGAGTCAAAGGTCAGGATCCAGGACTATGAGAAGCAGGTAAGGATGAGCCATGGCCCTCAACTCGTCTCTCACTGCCACCCTTGCACCCACCCTGCTAACGGTTTCCTTACTTGGATTCTTGTTTTGCATCTCAGGGGCCCTAACACTGTTGTCCATGACTAACACTCTCTGCTCTTTCTAGCTTGAGAAAATGAAGAACATGATTCCTTTTGATCAGATGACCATTGAAGACTTGAATGAAGTCTTCCCAGAAACCAAATTAGACAAGAATAAGTACCCCTATTGGCCTCACCAGCCAATTGAGAACCTGTAAAATGAGTCCAGGAGGAAGGTCCGACGTGTAGGCTACAAACGCTGGACATTAAAAATAAAGATGACTACACAGTTCTGGGTGTGTCACCTCCTCTGTGGCTGGAGTAGTTGAATTGAGAAGGTTGCACTGGAATCGGCCTTTTGAGATTTGAGATGTGAAGCCGTCGTGGAAGGGGCAGAGCACGTGAGAGCACGCTGAGGCCTCGGCTGGTCAGATTGGAGAGCAGTAGGCCTGCCACTGTTCACTGGGCTGTGGTGAAGAGGAAGCTCCTCTAAGGCTCCTGAACTTCCTCTTGGCATTTGGACCAGTCCTAGGAAGTGCCCATTTCAGTCCCTTTCAGAAGGTCAGAACTGTGGTCCAAATGCAGGTGCTTTGACTTCTGAGCACAAAAGTCGCTGAAAAGGAAATGGGCCAGGTGCAATGACGCATGCTTTTAATCCCAGCACTGGGGAGGCAGAAGTAGGCTGATCTCTGAGTTTGAGACCAGCCTGGTCTACATAGTGAGTTCCAGGCCAGCTGGGGCTACAGGGAGACCTTGTCTCAAAAAGACCAAAAGAAGAAAAAAAGAGAGGAAAAAAAAGAAACTTGGTGGTTATTATTTTTTTTTTTTTCTTGGTCTTTTTGAGACAGGGACTCCCTATAGCCCCAGCTGTCCTGGAACTCACTATGTAGACCAGGCTGGCCTTGAACTCACAGAGATCCACCTGCCTCTTGCCTCCCGAATGCTGGGATTAAAGGCATGAGCCACCACACCCGGCTTGGTTTATTTTTTAAATTCCTACTAGTTTGGTTTGGTGGTTGCTACTCACTTGTAAGCATTCAGGGGTTTAAAAAAAAAAAAAATGTGTGTATGTGCACACAAATCAAAAAGCCAGGTGTATGGCACACTCCTGTCCCAGCTCCTCAAAAGGCTGAGACAGAAGGGTGGGATGGGGGAAGGGATGGAGTGAGGATGACTTGAGACTCTTCAAGGCAACTCAGTCAGACCCTGTCTCAGCAACCAAAAATTCCTACTGAGCTATTTATTGTGGTTTACAAAACCTGAGGCACAGGCAGTTCAAACTAAGAGGGCCTGGGTTCAGTGGCTTGTGCCAGTAGTTCAAACTACTTAGGAAGCTGAGGCAGGAGGATCTTGAGCCTGGGTTAGGATGGTGGGAGACTGGTGAGCCAACTCCATGGGTAAAGGAGCTTGCCAAGGAAACCGGGTGACCTGAATCCTTGGGTTCCATGAGGTGGGAGGAGAGACTTGACTCCACAAAGTGGTCCTCACTACCACACTTGCTGTGGCACATACACCATAATAAACAGTTAAGGTGGCCAGCAAGATGGCTCAGCAGGTCAAGGTGTTTTCTGCCAAGCCTGAGACCTGAGCTCCATCCCCATATGGTGGTAGAGGACTGACTGACTTCTACATGTGCACTGTGGCACCCACATGCTCACACAAGACACACAAAAATAAATGGAAAATGAAAGTTAAGGTGGTGGGGGGCGTAGCTCTCGAGTCAGGCCTGATGTGCCTACTGTGGAACTGCTGATTTAACTGCCTTGGGATTTTAGTTTTTTCATTTACAACTATCAAGATTGTAATGAGAATTGAGATCATCTGGGGAGTTTAGCTCTCTAAGCATCATCATCTGACTGGGTATATCAAATCCTAGCACCCACATGGCAGCTAACAACTGTAACTCCAGTTCCATGGGATCCGACAGTCTCTTTGTCCTCTGCGGGCATTGCATGACATGGGTGCACTTACCTACATGCAGGCAATACATGCATACACATAAAATAAAAAGAATGTTTTAAAAAATAATTCGGTTCCCAGGCTGAGAATTTCTGCAACCTTTCATCCCAGGGCTTGGGAGGCAGAGGCAGGTTTATCTCTGGATTCTAAGCCAGCTTGGTCTACATGGCAAATTCCCTGTCTCAAAAAAAGAAAAAAATATTAAGCTCCCAGGACCCACATTTGGTGGCTCACAACACACCACTGCCAGCCTCACAAAGCCATTAATGAACCTTGCCCTGCCCCGATCTATGTTCTAACACCAAAGGTGTGTCTGGATGTTGAACTCCTGGGTTTTGCTCAGAGACGCAAAAGGAAACGAGCCCCCACTTGTTCACATACTGGCTCGTTGGGTTTCACTAGGATGAAAAGCAAATTACAGCCAAGACACAAAAACATATGCAACGGTTATTAAAAGGACAAAATGTACTGGAATTTTTAAGTGAGGTGTTCTTTTGCCCTCAAGCTGGACCTGGTGATACTTGCCTAAAATGCCAGCACGCAGGACGGTGAAGTGGGTGGATTGCAAATTCCAATCTAGCAAGGCCGGTGCACAAAAATCAAATGTATAGAAACAATGCAACGCCAGATCACCTCAAGCCAGACTTGAACCCATAATGCCTGGCTTAGAAGGCCAGTACCTTATCCGTTAGGCCACTGGAGCTTAGTGAGTGCAACGCCCGATCACATGTCTCTTAACTGGTGAAGCCGCAAGCTGCGTGATGACGTCAAAACGTTACGTCGGCAGATAAACAGGTCCATGTTTCATTAGTAACCTAGGAAGTGTTTGGAGAGACCTTTTCTGCCTAAAACGGGAGTGGCCGAAACTTTAGAAACTTTAATGCAGGATTAAAACGTTGCGACCACGAAGGGACTCGAACCCTCAATCTTCTGATCCGAAGTCAGACGCCTTATCCATTAGGCCACGCGGTCTAGTTGAGGGCTTATCTCCACGAGCCCTTATAACTCAGTGACTAGTAGGCCTACCTCGGTGGACATGTACCCTGTGGAGTCGCCTGCTTGTCCTTCACCGGAGAACACGCGCTCATTGCGGATCGAGCATCTCGGCCGAGCGGCAGCTGGACCTGCCTGCGGCCCCGCTGGGCGCTCCGGCTGCGTAGCCTCCTGAGGAAGTCGTTCGACTTTGGACCGGAAGATGGAGGGTTCGAGTCCCTTTCCCGTCGGCCCTGTTTTGGGCGCCTCCGTTGTGGTCCTCTATTCTCGCCCCTATCTCCAGCTTTCCTGGACGCGGAGCTGGTTGGCACGAGGATGTGGCACGCTACCACAGACCACGTGGCCTGCTTTTCAGTTCTGCCCCAGTGGCCTAATGGATAAGGCACTGGCCTCCTAAGCCAGGGATTGTGGGTTCGAGTCCCACCTGGGGTGGTGCGGCGTGTGTTTTGGTGCCACCCGGTGCGCCGTCTCCAAAGCTACTTTGACGCCCTGTTTCGGGCACCAAACCTGAGAGGGAGGATTTTTTCCCCCCGCACAAAAAAGAGCCGCCTCTGTACCCCAGGTGGGACTCGAACCCACAATCCCTGGCTTAGGAGGCCAGTGCCTTATCCATTAGGCCACTGGGGCCCACGACGGAAAGGTATCGTCCTTTTTCTTCTAATGGGCGTTGCGACTGTTTCTGACCGCTCCAATGGGAGCGTGTGTTCACGGCTGTGGGCCTGGGTGCGATGAATCCCGGGCTTTGAGCTGAGCTCCGGCTGTATGGGACCGGGTCCCGGAAGCAGGGCGGCTTCCAGGGCGTTGGCTTGCTACCCCTCATCCCACACGAGCTATTTTATCCTGTTGTCTCTGGAAAACGGATGGGAAATCCCAGAAGGAAAGCAAATCTCAGCCGCAGTGTGGAAATAACACTGAAAATCCTCCCCGTCAGGAGAGAACTTACACATCCTTCGGGTCACAACCATAGAAACATATTTACTAATTAATTAATATCCTTTACAAATATGTGATACATAGAGGACTGGAATCAGATATTTCACCCTGACATTTCTCTCATTTAAAATAGAGAGCTGAAGGTTATTAAAAAAATGTATCTACTTTAAAGGAACTCGGTTAAGGGAAGCAAGGCGCAGAGCAGTGCAGTCTGGGAAGTGTAGTTCAGGAGGCTTAGCAATGGATTCTTGATACGGGTTGAAGTTCTGGGAAGTGGCTGAGGCTTGAAAAGAGCTATGGATGGATGGTTTTAACTACAGCTGAGCACAGGAAGCGTTTGTTTTATGAATGACTTCTCTATAGGTTAATTAGCTCCAGGATTTAATCCCGTGAATTGCTGACAGTGCACTGGTTTTGTTCTTAGCCCTGATTTCAGTATGTTGCAACTATAGCCAACCATACCCAACATTCCTGGAGCTAAAGCTTTGATGACATTGACGTTTGAAAGCATTTGAGATGCCATAAGGAACGGGAAGAAACAGAAGGGAGGCGTGGTCACTGTAGGAGGTGGTGTTGGGGGGGCTACTGGGCTCAGCAATGACCCCAAGAACCGGGAACCCCAAAGCAAGTCCAGTGCCTGCTCATCTCTGTACCATCTCTGTACGAGATGACTGATGGTCAACTTCCATGCTGAGCTGAAATCCAAATTCTGTTTCTGAAAAACTTGACTGAAGAAAATTTATGTTTTTTTAAATTTTTAAAAATTATATTTGTTAGCCGGGCAGTGGTGGCGCACGCCTTTAATCCCAGCACTCGGGAGGCAGAGGCAGGCGGATCTCTGTGAGTTCAAGGCCAGCCTGGACTACATAGCAAGTTCCAGGCCAGCTGGGACTACAGGAAGAACCTGTCTCAAATTTCTTTGATTTTTTGAGAAAGTCTAACCTTGAACTGTAGCAACTCTCCCAAGAGACACCACAACACTCAGAATAATCACAACATTCTTCTTAGAATAAACATATTTTTAATTGTTAGGGTTTAAAAACCATCACTAGGGCCAGCTGTGGTTGGTGCATATCTTTTTTTAAAATTTTATTTTTATTTTATGTGTATGCATGTATTGCCTGCATGTAGGTAAGTGCACCGTGTCATGCGGTGCCCTCGGAAGTCAGAAGAGGCTGTCAGATCCCCTGGGACTGGAGTTATAGACAGTTGTTAACTGCCATGTTGGTGCTGGGATTTGAACTCGGGTTTTCTGTGAGAACAACTAGTGTTCTTAACCACTGAGCCATCTCTCCAGCCCCGGTTGGTGCATATCTTTAATCCCAGCTCAGGAGACAGAGAAACCTCAAAAACAAAAGAAAAAAAAACCCATTACTATACTCCACATACATCATCAGATGTGAAAGTGGAAGTCTCAGCCTATTGCACTTAAGTCCTCCTGGCACCCACTTGAGGTATCAGAGGATGAAGGGGACACAGGGCATTCCTCTTTGCTCCTCTCTCCAAAATGTAGAATCTGCAGAAATGTGGCTCCTTCCCTCTGTTAATAGCAGCAAAAAGGAGCTGGAGAGATGGCTCAGCCAGTAAAGGTGCTTGCTGCCAAGCCCAATCTAGCCTCAGGACCCACAGAGTGGAAGGAGAACTGACTCCTACAAGTTGGTACCATGGTGCACACATACCCCTCCTCATCAATAATAGTGACTGGCCAGATAACTTAGCAGGTAAGGGCGCCTTCCCCACCAAGCCTGACAATTTGTGTTCCATCCCTATGGTGGAGGAAGAACCAACTCACTGGTTTCTTCTGACCTCCAGATGTGCACGTTACTCATGCCCAGCCCCACAATAAATAAACATTTTTTAAAACTATTTTTGTTTTACGTACTGCCTACGTGCATGTAAGTGCGCTGCACCCATGTCGTGCAGTGCCAACAGAGGTCAGAGAGGGCATTGGATCCCTTGGAACTGGAGTCACAGATGGCTGTTAGCTGTCATGTAGGTGTTGGGAATCAAACCCAGGTCCTCTGCAAGAGCAGCCAGTGCACTTAATGCTGAGCCATCTCTCCAGCCCCACAAATGAGTAAAACTTTTCTAAAAATCTAAACTTCTGAGGTGGGTGTGGTGGCACACACCTTTAATCCCAGCGCTCAGGAGGCAGAAGCAGGTGGATCTCTGTGAGTGCCAGGCCAGCTTGGTCTTCATAGGAAGTTCCAGGTCAGCCAGGGCGACATAGTGAGACTGTTTCAAAGAAATAAACCAACCTGAACTTCTGGTCTGGGAATGGTAAAGCATGCCTTAATGGTCTGCTTAACTGGTAAAGCATGCCCAAGAACAAAATGTATTTTGAGTCCTCGTCCGGAGTGTCCACCTCTCCGGTGCACCTCCTTGCAGCCCCTCGCACAGCCATCAGCACTGCTGGCTCCTTGTCACCTCCTGTACCCCAGCTTCTTTTTGGTCTTTTTGAGACAGGGTCTCCATGTGGCTCCAGCTGACCTGGAACTTGCTATGTAGACCAGGCTAGCCTTGAACTCACATACAGCCGCCTGCCTCTGCCTTGCTAGGGCTGGGATTAATGGTGTGCTACCACACCAGCCAGTTTCTGTATCTTTTCTAGGACAGCTCAAATGCCCACTCACCAGTCTTTCCCTCCTGGTTATATACTCCTTGAGGGCAGACCTACAACCCTCTGCTCCCCTCCGTGCTGTGACAGGAACTGTGAGAAAGGTCTGACTGAGGAGAGAGGGAGGCTACTGAGCTTAGAAGTTTATTGCAGCCAGTAACACCTGAGGCGATGACAGGGAACTGCCCTGGAAGACCTGCAGCACCCCCTCTTCCTCTAATCCCCCTCCCCCCAAGGGAATGGTCTTGTCATGGCTCCAGTGCAGACAATACCCGGGGAAAAGCGGCGTCCTTGGTGTGATGTCTCTGGACTGAGGCCGCCGCACATCCGGTGTTTACTGGAAGCGAGGGGTGACTTCAGTCCATATCCACCCTCCTGCTTGTCTTTATGGTAGAGTTTATTCTCTTCTGTCGCAGCCTTTCCCGATTCATGTTTTCTATCCTGAAAACACAAGATCCCGATGAGGCCCAGATGTGCAATCAGTGTCTTTCAAAGCATGGAGAGGAGGGGAAAGTGGAATAGCTCAGTCAGCAGGAGCCAGCTGTGCACCTGGGCCTGGGTCAGCACCTCACCCTTCCCGGCAGCTTCCTGGGCCTCCCACTGCGAGCTTCCGGACTCCACCCTGCCTCCTGTCCCCTGTACAGCCCTGGTGCATGTGAATCAGCTTACTGTAGCCTTGGTGTTCTGTACCTGATTCTCCGGAGCTGAGCATCTTCTTTGGATGGCTCCTTGGGCACCTGGCTGGCTTCCGCAATCATGTCTCGAATTTTCTGCAGGCATTCTGCCAGATTCCGGAGCTGATAGCGGCTGCTTTCAGAAGTAAGTACCAACTCTCCTGACTTGTTGATCTTATTTTTATGCTGCAGAGACGGAAAGAGCAGAGTACCATAAAGATAAGTCCCCTGTACCCACCCAGGAGCTGCAGGGAAAGAAAGGGAGGTGGTTACCTTGAGAGCGATCTTCTGTCGCACGGGCTCTGCAATCCAGTCTGCTGATGCCAAATGGAACCTGACTTCAGCCTTGGAATTCACTGTGGATGAAGAGAGGAGCATGGTTCTCGGAGACTCTTGGGAAGGTATAGAGCCCTGGGGTTCCATGACAGGCCTGAAGCCAAGGGCAGTCACCCACCTGAGCAGGTGCACTTTAGCATGTGTCAAAGTGGTCATGGAAGCGGTGTGCAAAGCCAGTGGTGTGCAAAGCCAGTGAGCGAGGCTCTTTGGGATAAAACCAGACTTCTGAGACCCAGATGCCCAGGCTTCACTTTGAGCTTTACTGAGCCCTGAAAAGCACACTGGGGCTGGGCCCCATGAGGGCAAAGGAAACCTGCTCTTTGGATTCAAGCCGGCTGCCAGCTCACACTGTGAGTTCTCTTTGTTTAGTGTCATAAGCCAGTCTTAGTCTTGGCAAGCCACAGCTGAGAGCCAGACAATTGGACCACATTCTGAAGAATAAAGAGGATTATTATAAGCCTTAGCTGAAAATCCCTTTATTCCACACCAATGTGAGAAGCATTCCCTCCTCAAGAACACCTCCCCAGCTAAGTCTTAAAGCAAAAGACTGTAACAGTGCCTGTACCTTTATTAACGTTCTGCCCTCCAGGACCGCTACTCCGACAGTAAGAGATGGTCAAGCGATCTGCAAAATGATAGAATGCACACACAAGGATTCTCCTACAGCCAAACATGTAAACTGCTAATTTAGTCAAATAACTAACCCATCATACCTCTCTTTCAATCATACACACACACACACACACACACCCATGCCTATCAGTAAAGCTGGAGAGTATTCACAGATGTCAAAACTACAATCAAGGCAAGTGACTTCCCCAAGGTCACCCAGAGAGCAGACCTGCGTCTAGCACACTGAACTAATCCTCTGCTCTGTCTGGCTTTTTACTGTTTGCTTTAAAAGCAAAGAAAGACTCTTTCCAAAGCTCAAGCTAAAGGACTGAATGACTCCCATGCACTTCAAAGCATGGTAGATAGGGAATCCTGGTGGACTGTAAGCCCGACAGGGCAAGACTAGGAGGGCATGATGGCACATGCCTTGCAATGCCAGCACTTGGCAGGCTGAGGGAAGCAGAGGAGAGTATGGCTGTCCTTCCTTTTATAGTCTACAGGACTCACGCACATGGTGGTCCTCTTGATCCAGCTTCCTCAGGGTAAGCGTCTTTTCTTTTTATTCCCTGAGGCAGTCACTGTTATCTAGGTTTTTACACACCCTTTCGTTCATATATGTTTGTGTGTGTGTGTGTGTGTGTAGACAAAAATTATAGAAATACAGAAACACAGATGCAGACACACATGTGAAATCTGAATCTGTACCTCTGCATCTTTTTTCCATGGCAGTCAACTCCTGTATCACAAAGACTGTTCCTTGTCACAGGCACATCAAGAGCCCTTCGTCTTCATTCATCTGGCGAACTGCACTGCACTGCATGAGTATTCTGCCAGCACCTGCTAGGCTAAATGATGCTGCAGACTACTTTTACACCCACACTCTTTACTGTCTTTAATTAGTCTGGAGAGATCTGGAAGGAATATGTGAGTGATGGGATAAATAGCTTTTTTTTTTTTGGTTTTTTTGAGACAGGGTCTCTCTGTAGCCCCAGCTGTCCTTACTATGTAGACCAGGGTGGCCTTGAATTCACAGAGATCCACCTGCCTCTGCATCCTGAGTGCTGGGATTAAAGGCGTGCGCTACCATGCCTGGCCTCAATGGATTTTTTTTAAAAAAATTTTTATTTTATTATTTTGATTTCGTGTGTATGAGTGTATTGCCTGCATGTATGTGAGTGCACCTGTGTCGTGTCCTGCAATGCTGAGGAGGTCAGAAGAGGGCTTCAGATTCCCCTGGAACTGGAGTTAAGGACGGTTCATAGCCGCTATGTGGGTGCTGTGAATCGAACCCGGGTCCTCTGCAAGAGCAGTCAGTGCTCTTAACTGCTGAGCCATCTCTCCAGCCCCATAAATGGCTTTTTAATTTCATTCATTCATTCACTGATTTGTGGTGCTAGGGATTAACTTAGGGTCCAGCTCATGCTAGGCAAGCACTCTACCATGGGCTATCCCCCCAGTATAAAAGCACTCACCTACAGGGATGGCGTTGCTGCCTTGTTTTGCATGATCCTGTAATGTAATGTACAGAGTGTCACAGAAGTCACCTACTGGTGAGAAGAGAATGACAAAAAGAATGCAAAGCCTCAGTCAAATGCTGTACGTTATGGGCTGGCGAGGGGCCTCAGCAGGTAAAGACACTTACTGATAAGCCTGACAACCTGAGTTCCATCTCCAGGACCCACATAGTAGGAGAGAACCAACTCCCTCAAGTTGCCCTCTGACCTCCACATACAGTGCCAAGCATACACACCCTCCCCAAATACAAGGAAATGTAATAAATTTTTTTTTTTTTTTTTTGGTTTTTTTGAAGCAGGGTCTTCCTGTAGCCCCAGCTGTCCTGGAACTCACTATGTAGACCAGGCTGGCCTTGAACTCACAGAGATCCGCCTGCCTCTGCCTCCCAAGTGCTGGGACTACAGGTGTGCGCCACCATGCACGGCTAAGAAATGTAATAAATTTTTTTAAATTATACATTATTATTTTCAGGCCCCCAGCAAAATCACCCTATGAAAGCACCCCTGAACTCCAGACACACTACTCCAGAAGCACTTCTGTAGGAAAATGGAATTCACGACTCCAGCTGTCCCTGCCTTGGCTTAAGCTGCTGTTGGGAGGTCTGCTGCGAATACAGCCTGGTTCATCTGCCTGGAGGGCTCGTGTCAAAGGGAGCTAGTCGCCCTAGGGCTTCTCACCCAAGCTCTCCATTCAGCAGCAGTGTCCTGCAACCTTTAGTCCTGGAAACCACAAGGCCCAGCAAACATGGCCTCCTCTGAGGCTCTTTTGGCCTCCAAGCCCAAAGCATCCTCATCTGTGCCCCTCCCTGCCTTCATCTTTGATCTTAGAATTAATGGGGAGAAAATCCTCATCCTGCTCACTGGTCTGCAGCTCTGAAGGCCACAGCCTCTTCCCTAAATTACCCTCCCCAAGTTTCCCCCTTGCTTTTCAATGCCTCATCACACTCCTTTGCTGGTCTGTTTCCTCATGATCTTTAAACTGAGGTGCCACTGAAATCCCTCTCTCTCCTCTTTCTCTACCATATTTCATCCTATGCTGATGAAAATGCCATTTAGATTGGTGACTCCCAACTTTTGGGTTCAAGTAAACTTTGTTCCATATACCCAGCTGCCACTTGATGTGATCTCCGAGATATCTCATACACCCTCACCTCGAACCTACTCAGAGGTCTCTTTATTATCAGTCTGAAGTCTCTCAGATGTAGTAGGACATGGTGGTACACCCCTGTAATCTACCAGCATATGAGCCAGAGGAGGGTGGAGAGTTCAAAGCCAGCCTAGGCTGCCCAGTGAGTTCCGAGGTAGCTTGACTACAGTAGGAGACACTGTCTCAAAACAACAAGGGGCTGGAGAGCTGGCTCAGCAGTTAAAAGTGCTCACTGCTCTCGCAGAGGACCCAAGTTTGGTTCCCAGCACCCACAAAGTGGCTAACAGCTATCTGGCACTCCAGTTCCAGGGGATCTGACACTCTCTTCTGGTCTCCGTGGGTACTGCATGCATGGGGTGCACTTACATACATGTAAATGAAACATGCATATACATAATAAAATATTTTTTAAAAAGTTATGTTTCTGAGGCTGTAAGTAATTAACGATTTAGTACATGACACTACTTTTTTCTTTTGGTCTTTTTTGAGACAGGGTTTCCCTATAGCCCCAGCTGTCCTGGAACTCACTATGTAGACCAGGCTGGCCTTGAACTCACAGAGATCCACCTGCCTCTGCCTCCCAAGTGCTGGGATTAAAGGCATGTGCCACCACACCTGGCCCCAACACTATTTTTAAAAAATATTTGGAGTGGTCCCAAATATTCACCACAGCACACCGGCCAATTCATTATGACTTACCACCCGGTATTATCCCCCCTTTGGCAACTGTCTGATGCTTCCAACTAGAACATCACCTCCCATTACGTCCTGTCTGTCTGGCCAATCATGGTGTGGTGTCTGTTGTGCTAGAAGCAGTGCCTGATATGTTAGGTACACAAAAAACTTCGGAGACAGCTTCTTGCTATGCCTGGAATTTGCAGCAATCTTCCCACCTCTGCTTCCCAATGCTAGGACTACAGACATGTGCCACTATACCCCACTACAAAGCACTTTTTGTTGAATGAACACATGAATGCCGCCCCCACCTTCTCATAGAAATCAGTGGTGATCCCTCTATTGCTGGAGGCTCTAGACTTCAATTCCTCTCTTCTCACTTTTCTTATCCAATCCATTAGCAAGTCCTACAGGCTTCCTTCAGAATACACCTAGGATCTGACCAATCCAGGAGACTATTGCATCCACTCTGCTCACAGCTCCCTCCCTGTATGGCTCTGTCACAGCAATCCTTGTGAATTGAGGTTGTATCATTCATCCCTCTGCATCAAGCCCTCCGATCAACCTCAGCTGCATTCAGAGGAAAAGTTAGGGGCTAGGAAGCCCTACAGACGCCTTTGCCCCTTTACCTCTCTCCTCTCAACTTTCACTTCCCTGACTGTCCTAGCAGGACAGTCACACTTGTCCAGGAGGTGCCTTGAAGAGGCTGTATTTGCTGTTCCCTCTGACTGGGACACTCACCTCCCCAGTACTGTCATGCCTTCCACCTTCTAGATCGCTGTTTGTTTGTGACAAGGTCTCATGTAACCCAGCCTGGCCTTGAACTTGGTATGTTGCCAAGGCTGATCTTGAACTTCTGATCCTCCCCCCTCTGCCTTCCCAGTGCTGAGACAACTTGAGGTGCGTTGCGTATCTGTGCCCCACTTCTTCTGGGTCTTCCTGCAGGTCAGTGAAATCTTCCCAGACCACTCTACTTAAAACTGCAACTCTAAGTCAGGCACAGGGATACATACAGTAATCTCAGCACTTGGGGAGGCGGGAGGCAGAGGGAGGGGGATCACTGCAAGTTAGAGGCCAGCCTGATCTACACAGTTGAGTTCAAGGCCAGCCAGGGCTTTGGGGGTATTTTCTCAAAAAACAAAAGTCATGTATAGTGGCACATGCCTCTTATCTCTGCACTTGGGAGATGGAGGCAGGAGGATCAGGAGTTCAAGGCCACCCTCAGCTACACAGTAAGAGACTGGCCTATGTGCAAACAAACACTACACCACAACAAATCTGCAACTCTATCTCTAGCTTCACTTCTTCCTCCTGGGTTTTATTTTCTCTAAAGTACAATATTCTGTGTTACTCGGGTTTATCTATTTTTGTCTCTTCCCTTCGGTACACTATAAGCTCCACAGCCTTAGGATTTTTGTTTTATTTACTACTCTGTGCCCCAGCCTAGCACAGTGCTCGCAGCATAACATCAACCAAAGTCTGTTGAATGAGTGTGTGCGTTAATGAATGAATGCTTCATTCTCTTCCAATCCTGTAGGTGCGGCTCAATAGAACTAGGTTCCATCTTTCCTGCTCTGGCCGGGTGATGCAGGGCCTACACGCAGCGCGCTAAATAAATAAATGCAATCCTGAACGAACAAGCAGCTTTCTTCCTCGGGCTTGCTGGGGTTACTAGCGGCAATGGGGACGGGTGATGTTCCAAAAGGTAGCCAACAACTTGCCGGCCTCTACCTTTATTATCCATGTTGAAAGACCATAATACACATTTTCCCTTGGACAAGAATGTGGGCCTGAGGACCAGGAAACCAACGTGGAAACGCTGATGCTCTTGGAAGGAGCTTAAGTGGCCCGGTCTCTCAGGATGCCCGCAGAGCTGAGCCACGCGGGCGGCCAAGACACCCCTGCAGGCCCCGCCCTCGGTTGCTAGGACGACCAGCTTCTCCCGCCAGAAGTCACGTTCCACGCGGGGCAGCCCCTGTATGGAGACACCGGGCCAGCCAATGCAGCCCCGCTTCCCCGCCTTACTCGGCAGCGGGAGGAACCGCCCTTTCCGTCCTGCCCTTCACAGCTCACCGGGACCTTCCAGGCGGTGTCCGCGCCCTTGGATTCCGGGTAGAGTTTGTCCAGGCTGTAGATGCTCTGGAATTCCGTGCCATCTACCTGTTTGTGCAAGGCCCGGCAACCACCGCGCGCGGACAGCAGGAGCACCGAGGCTCCGGCACGGCGCAGACCCCAGGCGGCCGCCATGTTTAGGGTTTGGCGCCCTTCCGGTGTGCACTCTTCTCGAGGTCCGCCAGCTCCCGGGGCCCTCGGAACTTGGGTTCCGCCTGGTTTCTAGGGCCTGACTTTCAGAGCAGCGAGCTGGACTCCCTTGACTCCCTCCGGAGGCGTGGCCGAGGTTAACCAGACGGCGGCCTCCGAAGGCCGATTCCCAGTAAAAAAGACCCTTGGATCTGCCCGGGATCCAGCATGCCTGCAATCCCAACACTGCTTTCGAGGGGGAGGCAGGTTTGAGCCCCAACCTGGGCTACATAGTAAGCCCCTGTCTCAAAAATAATAAGCCTGGATCCCGTGTCTCCAGAAACGCCATTTCTTTCCCTTTTTTAAGTCCATTCCCTTCGCCTGGACCCTTTAACAACATAAACATCTATGAGGTCTTGTTTAGCTTGGATCATACTCCTCCACCCACTTCATGCCCCATGAACTCATGTATGTAGTTGTATTATTTGGAGAAGGGTATCATGCATCCCAGGTTGGCCTGGACCTCGATTTGTAGCTGAGGATGACCTTGACTTTCTGATCTTCCTGCCTCTACCTTCCGAATTCTAGGACTGCAGGTGTGTGCCACCACACCTGGTTGATGCTGTGTTGAGAACTACACCGTGGGATTCATATATGCTAGGCAAGCACTCTACCAACCCAGTCACGTCCCCATATTGAAAAGATTTCAACCAATCTTTTATTTTCTTTTGTGTTGCTTTGAGACAGGGTCTTATGTCGCCCAAGCTGGATTTGAACCCCTGGTTCTCCTGCCTTCACCTCCAGGGTGCTCAGATTACAGGTGTGCACCATTTTGCCAGGCCCCAGCCTTGTTTTCTAATTTAATTTCCCGTCTCCTAGCTAGAAAGCTCCAGAAGAACACTAGCTTCCTGCTATATCCCAGGCATGCAGAACGTGGTACATCACGGCACTCCACAAATATCAATCAAGTGAATTTCATGGCAATGTGGTTTTGAAAATTGAGTTTATGTCGAGTTGATCTCACCCCACAGCACATGTGTAGGTTGTGATAGCTTAGCTTATGCCCAGTCAGGGATGGGAGGCAGGTCACAGAAGGATATGTTTCTAAACATGGACTTCTTCCCTCCCTCCAGCTTTAAGGAGCATCACAGTAGCTTTCCTTAGCCATGAGATAAGGCAAGCCTGGAGAGATAGGTGCAGAGTTCAGAAGACTGCAGGCTACTGAGCAGAGCCATTCTATATCAGTGTTAAGGCCAGAACTCTGGCTAAATCTAAGGGTTCCAAGTAAGACCAGCAGTGTCTGAAAGTTAAACCTTGTTACCTGATTTGTGTATAAATAAAAATAGAGTTCAATAAATGTTAGTAGTTATTAGTAAAGCTTGAGGTTAGTTCTTAATGAAGAGTTCTGTTTTTAGGAGAAAGTATCATTACCTAGAAAAAAATATGCCCCTGGGATAATTTAAATATTCCCCAGGGATGCTAGCTGATTGCAACAGGAGATTGTCATCGAATCAAGTCTATCATCTCTGTGTTATTCAGGAAATAAACCATCTTCTAGACACTGGCTTTGTAAGCTCAGACTAGGAAAGGCTGGCAATGGACATACTCCTTTGGGTTCTGTGTTGGAAGGAGTCTCCTGGGTCCTTCCTATCTGACTCAGTCCCAAAACCTCACAGGGAACAGAGATGTCTCCATGGTGACTACAATAATATGCTGCTCAGGGGAGAATAATAGAGCATCCAAGGCATCTTTGCTCTGGGGCGGGGCTGCAACCTGTGCCTGACCCACAGTCATAGGAAAAGAAACTGCAGGTTTCCATGGCCCCAAATAAACACAGCCTGCTCAGGCCATCTGGTGCCCTGGATTCTGGGAGAGATGGGGGTAGAGGGCAAGTTGCCCTGAGGTGGAAAGAACAGCAGTTGGCAAGCTCTTCTTACTGCTGCCAGGAACCATCCAGAACCCGGCCTTTGGGAGGAGAAACAGGCCCAAGAGGTACCACCTGTTCCCTTAGATAGACAAGCACTGAGTTGGGCATGAATCGTGCATGCCTGTAATTCCAGCACTTGGGAGGCTGAGGCAGGAGGAGTGCCATGAGTTCAAAGCAAGCCTGGGTTACATAGTGAATTTCAGGCCAGCGTAGGCTACATAACAAGCTCTTGTCTTTAGAAAAAAGAAAAAACTAGGGACTGGAGAGATGACTCAGCAGTTAAGAGCACTGGCTGCTCTTGCAGAGGACCCAAGCTCGATTTCCAGCATTCAATGGTGGCTAACAACTATCCATAACTCCATTTCCAGAGGATCTGACGCTGTCTTCTGACCTCCTCCGGCACCGCTTGACACAGGCGCTCTTACACATACCCAGGCAATACATTCATACAAATAAAAACATTAAAAATTTTTATTTATTTATTTTATGTGTATGCCTGTATCGCCTGCATGTAGGTAAGTGCACCCATGTCGTGCAATGTCCTGGGAGGACAGAAGAGGCTGTCGGATCCCCTGGGACCGGAGTTACAGACAGTTGTTAGCTGCCATGTGGGTGCTGGGATTCGAACCTGGGTTTTCTGCAAGAACAACCAGTGTTCTTAACCATTGAGTCATCTCTCCAGTCCCAATAAAAATATTTTGTAAAAAGAAAACTAGCCGGGCATGGTGGTACACGCCTTTAGTCCCAGCACTCAGGAGGCAGAGGCAGGCGGATCTCTGTGAGTTCAAGGCCAGCCTGGTCTACATAATGAGTTCCAGGACAGCTGGGGCTACAGGGAGACCTTGTCTCAAAAAGACCGGAAAAAAAAAAAAAACCTAAAAAACAGTAACAATCCTGGCACTAAAGGTTTAAGCCAGTATCCTACTTCCCCAAGGCTTGGATGAGTTGAGACAGTGTTTTAAGAGGGGTCATTCACTTGAGAAAATAAAAAGGAAGAAATCATGAAAAGTCAACAAACCAGTCCTGGAAGCTAGGTCACTTGCAGATAGAAGCCCTGCGTTATGGCCTGTGAGGTAGGCTATGACTGGCATGTGAGAGGGTCCACAGGATTTTTCTTCTGCATGCTCTAAGTCAGACAGTTCCTTAAAACTCAACATTATGTAGGCAGAGAGGTGGAATCAGATGTGAATTAGAATACTTGTAATAAATTTTTCTGTGCTGGTCCTAAAGATAGCAATCAGGAATTTGCACGTTCCTGCCCCTGAGCTACATCCCCAGCTTGAGTTTGGAATGTTTTTATGTGACCTTGAGTGACTAACTTAACCTCTATGCTTCTGAATGCTCATCAGCAAATTAGAGATTTTACAGTTGTCTCATAAAGTTCCTGGGGGTATTAAGCACATTTGAATCACTTAACACAGTGCCAGCAGAAGTCAGCAGTCAGCATGCAACAAAAATCAGCCACGAGGCAGAGGTGCTGTGTACAAAGGTTCCTTAAAGGGCTGGAGGGATGGCTCATGGTTAAGAGCACTAACTGCTCTTGCAGAAGACCTGGGTTTGATTCCCAGCACCCACATGGCAGCTAACAACTGTCTGTCCCTCCAGTTCCTTCTTCTGACCTCTGTGGGCATTACACGACACGGGTACACTTATACCAATATGGGGCAATACACTCATACTTACAAAATAAAAATGATAAAAAATATTAAAGGTTCTTTGAAGGAATGTTTTCTGACAGCTTTTTTGTCTCTGTAGGCCTCGGGTGGGAAGTCCAGTCTGACTAGCTCTATAGACACTTTTTCCTTCTACCCTGAGGGACGGGCAGCATAGCCCAGGCTCAGCGGCATAGATGAATGGTAAAGCTGTCCCTTTCTCTCTGGAAATTGCTTTTTTTTCCACCAAGATTGCCTGCCTGGTTCCCTAAAAACAGCCCATTCTCAGGACTCTCAACTCTGGACTTGCTGAGACAGGTCTGATTTCCCTACCACAGCAGTTCACTGGGTTCAGACTTGGGTATGGGGATGGTGTCAGTTCCGGGAAGGAGGGAAATAGAGAAATTGCTGGGTATAGTGGTATACACCTGTAATCCCAGCACTTGTGTAGCTGAGGTAGAGATCATGAGTTTGAGACCAGTGTAGGCTACATAGTTAAATCCCACCTCAAAACCCAAAACAGTACCTGGGCATGGTGGGGCTTGCCTAGAAGCTCCCACTTGGGAGGCAGAAGAATTAGGAGTTCAAGGTCAGCCTTGGCTACATAGAGTTCAAGACCAAACTGGGTTACATGAAACTCTGTCTAAAAACAAAAACCAACAAAAAAACCCCTAAAACAAACAAGAAAAACTGAGGGAGGGATAGCAAAGTGTCCCAGTGGGTCAGGGTTCTTACTGTCAAGCCTGACAATGAGTTGTTTTTTTTTTTTTAATTTTTTTAGAAGTATTTCAATACAGCTTTAACATACTCAATAACAGTTTCCAGAGCAAAGAGTTTTCTTTTTGTTTTTAATGCTGAGTATGAGCATTTTGACTGCATGTAAGTGCACCCCTGTCATGTGGTACTTGCTGAGCCATCTCTCCAGCCCCAACAGTTCCAGTTTAGTCTCTAGGACCCATGTGCTAGAGGGAGAAGTGGTTCTGGCAAGTTGTCCTCTGACCACCACACATATGCCATGGCATGTGCGCACACACACACACACACACACACACACACACACACACACACGTAAGTTAAGAATATTTTTTACTTTTTGAGACAGGGTCTACCTGTAGCCCCATCTGGTCTGGAACTTCTATGTAGTCCAGGCTGGCCTTGAACTCAGAGAGAGCCACCTGCCTCTGCCTGGGTGCTGGGATTAAAGGCGTGCACCACCACACCTGGCAATAAAAACTTTTTAAACTGAGAAACAGGGCTGGAGAAATGACTCAGTGGTTAAGAGTACTGCACTGGCTGCTCTTGCAGAGGACTACGGTTCAGTTCCCAGCACCCACATGGTAGCTAACAACTCCAGTTCCAAGGGATCAGATGCCCTCTTTTGGCCTCTGTGGACACTGTATGCATATGGTACATTTACATACATGCAGGCAAAACACTCATACGCATACAATAGAAATAAAATAAAAATTTAAAAGCTGAGGGATGGCAGGCATCATGGTGCACACCTTCAATCCCAGCACTCAGGAAACAGAGGCAGACAGATCTCTGTGAGTTCATGGCCAGCCTGATCTACACAGGGAAGGGAGATCCAGGCCAGCCAGAGCTGCATAGTAAGACCTTGTCTCCCCCCGCCCCCCCCAAAAAAAAGGCCAAGGGAGAGTTGGCTGGCTACAGGCTTACAGGCTTCAGGTAACTTCTCTTGCTCCTGATATGCGACTGTTGCATGTGTGCTCTCTGAGACTTAGAGACAGGTGAAGGGAAATCTGACATCCTGACATCTTGTATATATAAACCATCCAGGCTGTTGCTATAATCATCAATTTGGGGTCCAGTTCTGGACTCCCCACAGCAGGCCTTCCCTTCAGAGCCTGTTCTTGGCTCCTTCAGTACCTTGGGAAGGTCCTGCCCCAAGGAAGTCTTTAGAGCTTTTCTGTAGACATGGGTCGCATGTACTCATGGAACTGAGGTCCACAAAGCTGCGTTTCCTCTAGAACTGAGTGGACAAGGCAGCAAGAATCTGAACCCCAAAGATCTGGGTCATTTTGGCCCCCAGCTTCTGCTATGCCATGTGTAGGAATGGTTTGGAAGGAGGGCTTAGCAACATTGGCTGGGCAGATGGACCACCAAGCACAGGGATGCCCATTCTAGGAGGGTGGGGTTGGCAGCGTGAGGTGACAGATGCCCTAAGGTGCTCCTTTGACACAACCCTGAAGTCCTAAGCTTTGGTACCAATTCTGTTTTCAGTGTTCATCACCACACTTGGAGAGGGCAGGGTGGGACATGGGGCTTGAAAAAGCACACCCACTATTATTTGCATTGGGGAAAACAGAAAGCCCAGCAACTGGCAACATCTCTAACATAGGAATGAGGCCAGGCAGTCTTGGTGATGACAGGCCTCTCCGATGACAGGTTCATTGTCTAGGTCCCCTCTATAACATTAGGAAGAGACAGTTCCTGGGAAGGGATGGGAATTGTAAGGTTTCTTTATGTGTATAGGAATACAAGTTTTGTTGTTGTTTTGTTTTGAGATTTTTTTTTTTTTTTTGGCCTTTCTGAGACAGGGTCTCCTTGTAGCCTCAGCTAGCTTGGAACTTGCTATGTAGACCAGACTGGCCTTGAACTCACAGAGATCTACTGGAGTACTGGGATTAAAGGAAATACCACCATACCTGGCTAGAATAACTTAAGTCAGTTACCTACATATGTGCAATTTTTGGTCTTTTTTTTTTTTTGAGGCAGGGTCTCCCTGTAGTCCCAGCTTGCCTGGAACTCACTATGTAGACCAGGCTGACCTTGAACTCACAGAGATCCACCTGCCTCTGCTTCCCTAGTGCTGGGATTAAAGGCGTGCGCCACCACGCCTGGCCATATGTGGAATTTTAAAAAAATATTTTATTATTTTATGGGATGAGTATATTGCCTGCACATGTGTAAGTACACCTGTCATGTAATGCCCTTCGAGGTCAGAAGAGGGTGTTAGATCCCCTGCAACTGGAATTACAGATAGATGTTAGCTGCCATGTGGGTGCTGGGAATTGAACCTGGGTCCTCTGCAAGAGCAGTCAGTGATCTTAACCACTGAGCCATCTCTCCAGCCTCCAATATGTGGAAAGTTAAAAAGATAGCAGGACTTGGGGCTGTGCCTCAGTTGGTAGTGTTTGCCTGATATACATGAAGCCAGAGGCTCAATTCTCAGCACCACATAAATCAAGTATGGTCATGATCCTAGCACTCAGGAGGTGGAGAAAGGAAGATCAGAAGTTCAAGGCCACCCTCAGCTATATAGCAAGTTTAAAGGCCAGCCTGGGATCCATGAGATCTCAGAAAGATAAAAAAGATTCACCACCAGGGGCTGGAGAGATGATTCAGAGGTTAAGAGCACTGATTGCTCTTGAGAGGACCTGGATTCAATTCCCAGCACCCACATGGCAACTAACAACCATGCATAACTCCAGTTCCAGGGGATCTGATGCCCTCTTATGACCTTCTCAGACACTACACGACATGGGTACACCTACCTACATGTAAGCAATACACTCATACACATTAAATAAAAAATATTAAGAATCCACCACCCACTGAACACACATGCCCTGGCTGACATAGGCCCCTGATCCTGACCTAATTTTTAGATCATTCTACCTTTGTTTATTTTTAGTTGCTTTGGGGGACTCTCCACAAGCCAGAATGTAAACTCCAAGGTAATACGGGCCATGTATTTTATTCATGAGTGTGACTGGCATAGCTGGTTCTGCGCAGACACAGAAACTTTTTCCAAGAGCCTATTTAGAGCTGTCTAATCATGGGGAAGTAAACAAGGAAAAGCTGAGAACTCAGGGGCACAGTGACCTCAAAGGAAGACAGAGCTCAGGGGTATGGAAGGGAGTGGTGCTCGGATGCCCTGCTCAGTGCATCTGCAGTGGTGCATGCAGGAGTCAGAGGCCTGTGAGACGCAGAGACACACTGTGGCTCCAGGGCCATTTCTGCTTTTAGAATACTGCTGCATTTTTTATTAAAGAAGAGAATAAAGCATTTGTAAATATATTTCTCTCATGTATACTTCAAAGGTGACACTGGTCAGCTGCTACAGAGCTGGGGAGTGAACACCCCCCAGATGACGGAGACATACAGAGGGCCTGGAAGTGCTCAGCCCCAGAGGACAAAAGGTTCCAAGTTACATGAACAGAAGGACCCAGCTGCCAGCTGGCATCACAGTGCCACCTGGAGCAAGGTGGCTTGTCCAGGTATGTCAGACATGCTTGTTAATAAAACCCCTTTCCCATTACAAAGAGATAAGGCATGAAGGTTCCCACTGGGCCCCAGGCACAGAGGCCAGGGCTACCGCCTCCCACTGGATTGTATGGCTCCTTTGATTTCTAGGGTCTGGGAAAGAGCGGTAGAAGGAACCAGAAGCCCTGAAGGACTGCTGAGGGCAAGCTGGGGACCTAGGTATCTCTTAGCTGAAACTTGACTTTCTGAAGTCTTAAACTAACATATTGAACCCCTGACTCAAGTGGAGCCTCAGGAGCAACCCACAAGGTAGGAGGTAAAGAGCAGGTATTTTATAAGGGAGGAAGGAAAGAAGGAACTTCTTCCTCATCCCCATCTCAATTTAATAATACCCAACATGGGCTAAGAATCATGGGCAGTCCCTGGTGAAGGAGGAAAAGAAAGGACACTGGGACCTGGGTTGGTGGCACTTGCCCAGAACATTCTACAGGATGCAGATGTGACCTGTATCAGGGCTGGCCTGAGGAAGCAGGGTGTGGATGAGAAGTCATGGTCCCTGAGATGGGGGCAGGCGCAGAGAAGGGTAATAGAGGTGGTGTATAGATATGGGTGGCTCCCTACCATCCCAGTCCCTGTAGGGCTTAATGCCCAGAAGTTATTTCCAGGGCTGTAACTTGAGGAGGTTGGCTCTGAAAGGAGACTCAACTATTTGTGTATGGCTGTGGAGGGGCTCTCTCTTCCCCTCTTCTGATTGGCTACAGATCTGTGGTGAGCTGAGGGTCTTTGCCAGGGCTGGAGGGGGGAGGGAGGACACTCCAGCCTGGCTGAAACTTCCTGCTCTACAAGGCAGGGGCTATCTGTGATTCGCTCAGAATTCTGGGAGTGGGTCATCCGGTCCTAAGGGAATGATAAATCAGGGTTGGTGAGAAGCAGTGGATGGTCTAGGAGACCCCAGAAACCAGCAGCAGCTGGCTCTGGGATTACCTTTCAAGTGTTTCCAGTTGTGGCAAGGGTCCAGGAGACCTTGCATTGCAAATATCTCAGAAAAACAACTTTGAAAGAAAATTTAAAAAATGAAGCTAAGCCAGAACAGATTCTAGAAGCCTGGCCACAATCTGAGGGTGAGGCTCTGGGTTCAGAAGCCAAGCATTGGGGGAGCTAGGAAGCCCTTGGGGACAGAAGAGGGTGTTGGGCTTTGGGCCCAGCCATCAGCAGAAAATATGCTGTTCAACCTCCACCACCTGCTATGATAAATTGCTGCTAAAAGGGCTCTCTTACTTGCTGGAGGCTGCGGTCCAGGCTTGACTCCCAGTGTGGAGCCAAGGAGAGGCTGCAGACCTGGAGAGGGGTCACTTGCTACTGTGTGTCTTGACTTTGGTGGCGTTGATGTCGGCCTTGGTCTTCTGGATCCTAGCGAAGATCTCTTTGAAGAGGGCCTTGTACTCGGGCTGGCTCTGCTCCAGCCGCTTATCCACAGCCTCCACGTGCTGGCTCAGGCTCTTCTCACCCGCCTTCCCCTCTCCCTGGCCCTCCTCACCCCGCGGCAGGTCCCTCCACGAGCTGTCCCGGGAGATGGGCCGTGACGTCTGCACGCCCGCATGCCGCACCCCGGCACCGTGCTGCCTACACTTGCTCAGCAGCTCTTCGTATTTCTCCAGGAGCGCGTGGTATTGCTCATCCACCTCTCTCAGGATGGACATACCGCGCCTGCGCACACTATTGGCGTGCAGGGTGAGGTTGCCCGCATGGCGACTGGCCGGGTCTTTGGCCACGATGGCGTTGAGCGCTGTGTCACTGCAGCTCTTACGCACTGCGTGGCTCGGGGAGGCTGCCGGGGAGGAGACGCCATCCTGGGCACTGGAGTCGTGCCCGCTGCCAGGCTGGGGGTCGTCGGCCTCGGGGGCCTGGGTGAGGGGCGCCAGCAGGGCCTCGGCCAGGTGCTCATCCCGGGCCAGCAGGTAGGTCTTGGCCTGCTTCATCTGCTGCAGCTCCAGCAGCTCGGCCTCCAGCTCCTGCACGCGCAGGCGGCAGCCCTCCATGTCGCACAGCTGACGCTCCAGCTCCGTGTACTCCTGCAGCACCGCCGTGTACTCGCGCTCGGCGCGCTCCTTGCGCTGCCGCTCCTGGCTCACCTGGGACCGCAGCACGCCCACCAAGGTCTGCAGCCGTTCGTTTTCCTGCTCCAGGGGCCGAGGGCCTAGCTCCAGCGAGGAACTGTGCAGGCGAAAGGCGTCCTCGCACCTGCTGGGGGGGAGCGGGAGTTAGTCATCGCCAAGGCTTTGGCCCAAAGCCTCAGAACACAGGACTCTCCTATCCACGGAGGGTCTCGGGTTCGAACAAAGGAAAGGAAGGGTGTGTCTTTCCCTCAGGCTCTTTCTCTGGTTGGTGTTGGCCAGACAGACCTCCCTTACCTTCAAGGTTCTAGTAATTTCCCTTCCCCTCAACTCTGGGGATGGTTGGGGCCTCGATCTCACAGAGTTCTTCTGCCTGTTTCTACCTCGCGTTTACTTTTTTAAAAATAATATTTTATTTATTATTTGTAATGCATGAGTGTATTGCTTGCATGTAAGTGTTCTTCAAGGTCAGAAGATGGTGTTGGATCCCCTGGAACTGGAGTTTCAGATGGTTATTAACTTCCATGTTGGTGCTGGGAACCAACCCTGGGTCTTCTGTAAGAGCAGCCAGTGCTCTTAACCCAGCTGAGCTCTCTCTCTCCAGCCCTTTTACTATTTTTATTTATTTATTTATTTTGTCTTTTTGACACAGGGTCTCCCTGTAGCTCCAGCTGACCTGCAACTCACGATGTAGACCAGGCTGGCCTTGAACTAACAGAGATCCGCCTGCCTCTGCCTTCCAAGTACGCCAGCACTCCCGGCTCTTTTTACTATTTTTAAAAAATAATTTATTTTATGTGTATGAGTGTATTGCCTGCATGTACATGAGTGCACCCGTGTTGTGCAATGCTGCTGAGGTCAGAAGAGGGCTTTGGAGTCCCTTAGAACTGGAGTTAAGGATGGTTCATAGCTGCCATGTGGATGCTGGGAATCGAACTTGGGTCCTCAGCAAGAGCAGTCAGTGCTCTTAACCACTGAGCTATCTCTCCAGCCCCTCTTACTATTTTTAAAGACAGGGTCTCATATAACCCAGGTTGACCTTGAATTCTAAGTAACTGAGGATGACTTTGAGCTCCTGATCCTCCTGCCTCCATCCTCTGAATGCTGAGATTATAGGAGTGCTCCACCACATCCAATTTATGAGGTATTAGGGACAGAACTCAGATCCTCCTGCATGTTAGACAGGTGTGGGCCACCATGCCCAGTCTTATTTATTTTTATTTTATGTGTATGAATGTATTGCCTGCGTGTATGTAAGTACACCTGTGTTGTACAATGGCCACGGAGGTCAGAAGAGGGTGTCGGATCCCCTGGAACTGGAGTTACCGATGGTTGTTAGCTGCCGTGTAAGTGCTGGGAACTGAACCTGGGTCCTCTGCAAGAGCAGCCAGTGCTCTTAACCACTGAGCCATCTCTCCAGCATTGCTACCCCGACCCCCAGCCCTGTATTCTTTGGACCAGGCACAGTCCTCCTTTCCAGTTCACTGTCCCCCTTCTCCCCGCTACCCTGGCCAGCACCCTCAGGACTACATTGCACCAGGGCCCTTACCTACCGGGCACTGGTGCATAGTTCCTTGAGGCAGGGAAAGGTATGAATGGTTCTCCTTCGCTCCCGCTTCTCCCGTCGAACCCGGAGCTGCTCCAGGCTTCGAAGTTGCTCCACCTGGGCCTGCAGCTCCTCAACCTGGGACTGTAGGCGTTCAATGGTCTCTGTCAGCCTGGGGTGGGGTGGGGACACACATGGGAGAAGTTTTAAGAGGACAGAGACAGTCTCCTCACTGCAGCCCTGGATCCTTGTAGACGGAGGGACACGGAGTTGAGGACGGAACAGGCAATCCTGAGCATGCTGTCTGGTGCTAAGGTTAGACAGAGAGTTCTGCTATGTCCAAGGAGCTACCCTTCTCCTACACTTCCCAGGCTGAGCCAGCCAGTTCTCCTCTGAGCCACCTCAGGTCCTTTTGTATCCATGTGCATGTTTATGTGTGTGGGGGTGCACATGTGTGAGGGTACACAAGCATGTGGAGGTATACCTTGGGTGTACTACCTGAGCAGTCATTCACCTTGTTTATTTATTTATTTTGGTCTTTTTGAAACAGGGTCTCCCTGTAACCCCAGCTGGCCTGGAACTCACTATGTAGACCAGGATGGCCTTGAACTCATGGAGATCTGCCTGCCTCTGCCTCCCAAGTGCTGGGGTTAAAGGCATGTGCCACCCCAACAGGCTCACCTTGGTTTTTATTTTTTTTCGGTCTTTTTGAGACAGGGTCTCCCTGTAGCCCCAGCTGTCCTGGAACTCACTATGTAGACCAGGCTGGCCTTGAATTCACAGAGATCCACCTGCCTCTGCCTCCTGAGTGCTGGGATTAAAGGCATGCGCCACCACGCCTGACTCTCACCTTGTTTTTTTAAAAACATATTTTATTTATTTTTATTATGTGTATGAGTGTTTTGCCTGCATGTGTGTGAGTGCACCACTTTCATACAATGCCCTCAGAGGCCAGAAGAGGGTATTGGATCCCCTAGAACTGGAGTTACAGATGGTTGTTAAGCACCACATGGGAACCAAACCCAGATCTTCCAAAAGAGCAGCCAGTGCTCTTAACCACTGAACCATCCTTTCTCCAGCCCCCAACCTTGTTTTTTCGAGACTGGTTCTCACTAGGACCTGGAGCTCACTGATTCAACTAGGCTGACTAGAGAGCTCCTAGGATTCACCTGTCTCCACCTCCCTAGTGCTGGGATTACAAGTGTATGCCACTGTGCCCTGCTTTTTACATAGGTTCTGGGACTTGAACTCAGGTTCTCATACATCCACAGCAAGCACTTTACCAATGGAGCCATCTCCCCAGCCCTACCTCAGGTTCCGACAGCTCTCTATCACTTATCACCACGTACTACAGGAACATATTTATATGTCTGCTTTTCCTCTCAAAGGACAGGACAGGACAGGTTATTGTGTCCCTGGTGCCTAAAACTGAGCCTGGTGCATAGTGATTCAAGAAAGGTTGTGGGCTGAATGCTAAGTCATATAAAGTTGACAAGGGCCTAGTCTTCTGGAGAAGTGCCCAAGTCTCCCTCACCAGTTCATATGCCCATGTGTACCAGCCCCAGGCCTCTCCCTCACCATCCCAGCCTCAGTCCAGCCCTCACCCATGGATCTTCTGCTGGGCAGCCTTACTCTCCAACACTAGCCTCTGGTTGGTCAGCTCCAGGTCTCTGGCCGTCAGGTCCAGCTGCTCATACACTTTGGCATGCTGTTCATTCACGTGTCGCAGCGTGTCCAGCTGTTTGGTCAAGTACTAGGTGAGGAGGTAAGGTTCAAATATGATTAGAATGAGGTAAGGACAAATCTCTCTGCATGTACCCTCCTACCACCTCTAGGCAGACTGCCTTTGAGAGATTTATCTTTAGTAAGCAAGTACAATGGGGCTGCCTGGGATGGATGGGCAGGTGGTGAACTGTTAAGGCTGTTGGAGTTAGGCTGGGGATGCCTATTGTGAAGTTGCACAAAGCAACACACAGGGCAAGGGCAAGGGCCCTTGACAGGTGGGAGGCAGTGCAGAGCCTGTGGCTCCTCACCTCGATCTCCTGTACTTGTTCCTCGTTGGTGGAATACATCTGCTGCAGTGACTCCTCCAGCTCCTTGTTCCTCTCCAGCAGAGTCTTCCCTAGCTCTGCAGCCAGGTGCAAGTCTAGGGGGGCAGAGGGCAGAGGGCCAGAGAACACAGCAGAGTGAGTTAGTCGGACGGCCTGTATTAAGGCCCCAGCTCACATCCTGAGTTGGGCTCTTGGTGACTTCAGGGTCACCAAGACACGGGCTGTTCTCAGAAGCCTCCAGCCTGACTAGAGATGGAAGGCAGAAGCTAAGCCTCTGTTACTTCAGTTTGAAATGACCTTTCCCTCGTTCCTGACTCTTCTCTTCCTTCAAGTCTCTGGTTTTTGTTTTGTCTGAGAGTGGCTCTTGCTACGCAGCCCATGTTAACCTGGAAACTCATGATCCTTTTGCTTCTGCCTCCTGAGTTCTGGGATTATAGGCATGTGCTACCAAACAGCTTAGTATTTATTTCTGCTTGACAAACAAATAGTACAGAAAGGTGGAAAGCTAACAAAAAATTGAGGGGTTAGAGAGATGGCTCAGCAGTTACGAGCATTTGCTGTTCTTGCAGTGGGCTGGAATTCTATTCCCAGCAGGCACTCATAACTGCTTGTAACCCTAGCTCCAGGGGATCTGATGCCCTCTTCTAACATCTGCAGGTACCCAACATACCAGGCATACACACATATATACACACTCACATACACATAAATAAAAATAAACCTCTAAAAAGAAATAAATAAACCCCTAAGAAAAAAACTGGACCAGTGAAATGATTCAGTGGGTAAAGGAGCTTGCTGCTAGACCTGACAACCTAATTGATCCCTAGGACCTAAGTGATGGAAAGAGAGAACAATCTCCCACAAATTGTGTATGTGTGCTCACATACACATACATACTTGCATACAACATAAAAAATATAATACAGAAAAAAAAAGGCTGGGGATGTAGCTTGGCTAGCATGCATAAAGCCCCAGATTCGGTCTCCAGCACCTGTAATCCCAGCACTGGGGAGGTGGAGGCAGGAAGATCAGAAGTTCAAGTTCATTCTTGGCTACACGGTGGTTTCAAGGTCTGTTTGGTCAACTTAGATATGCTGCCTCAAAAGTAAAAAGAAAGAAGAGCTGGGCGTGGTGGCTCACACCTGTCATCCCAACTCAGGAGGCTGAGGCAGGATTGTACCATGTTCAAGTTCAGTGTGGACTACAGTATGATACCCTGCCTTTAAAAAAAACCACCATCCCCATCACCACCACAAAAACAACAAAAGAAGGCCAGGGATATAGGAGAGTGCTTGCCTAGCATGCTTGAGGCCCTGGGTTCAATGTCTAGAATTGAAAAAAAGTAGTTCATTGTACTCAGTACTCAAACATTTGTGTAAATCATGACTTTATATATATATA